TACTATTCGGGTAAACTACAGACAGTATTCAACTTAAATGCTAAATTATTTTGTTTTGTTATAAAAGGTGAATTTTAAATATAACTCATTAGTGACTAGACGAGCTTGTTTGTCTAATGATAGCAATTGTTTCGTTCCCCACCATGTACTACATAATTTTTCTGAAACATTCTGGGCTTCGTGTAGATACTAAATGGGTGGCAGGGATATCGAAATTCCGTACGATCATGAATCAATGTCCACAGATTAAAAAGCCCTGAAGTAAATCGCGTATCGATTAAAGTATCCGATTTTTGAATATCTAAAATCAAATAAGTCGGTAGCGAATCGTCTTGAGATGTTTACAGTGATATTTTCACAATTTACAAGACGTGGTTCACTAACCACATGCTTGTCTATCCTTCTCTATCACATAAGAAGCAATTCTACACAATGTTTCCGCGTCACAAATATCAGCGTATGTGATTCACTATTTAATAAAAAACTCGACCCAGACTCAACTAATAAACAAAAACGAAGTTCGTTGACCCTTATTTTTTCTAGTCTAGCAGTTTACAAATTTTGTAAGTGACATTTACATAACACAATTTTTTTAAATTACACTTTGACCCTGAACTATTTATATTGATTCTTTAATATATCTCACTATGGGGAAATTGGATCTCTAGCGGCCTTATTACAAAAAAATACTTAAACCAGAACTGCGGAGTCTTGGTTTAACTCCTAAACCATGGTCTAAATAAATCTAAGTTAGAACCATAGTTAGTCCAGTACAAATGTTAAACTTCGATTTGTAATATGGCTTTCAAATAAACCAGGGTTTAAACCTGGTTTGAGGGCTAGTCCTTGTTTTGTAATAAGAGTGAAGAGGTTTAGAAAGAGATGCTTGTTAATTTTTACCTTCGGCCGTGTTGATGATGACGCATATTATAAAAGTTTTAAGACAGACAGCAATTTATTTTTTAAGATATACCGGTTTATGTTTTTCTTCACCAGACAGCATGTATCGAATAATGTATGGTTAATGATAAACGGGTCGTGAGTTCGACACCCACCGTATCGAATATGTTTCTTATCAATTTATAATTTTGCTCTTCGTCTAACATAAAAAAGTGCTCGACAGAGTATCAAACCTCCGATGTACAAAAGTTGATCAGGTTCTCATACCACTAGACAAAGATATTCCATATTTTAGGACGTGTACTCATAACCGATTATTTAAATTCTATAACCATGATGTTTATTAGCGTTTCACGGTTGAACTCATTCAATATGTTAATTAGACTTCACGTGTGCATAACAACTGCAATTAAGAAAACTGTACCGTTATTTTTACCGAGCCGAACTGATATAGTTGTTTGCTCAATAAAGATAATATGCCTGTTAAAGCTCCCGTTAGAATATACGATAGAAAACGTCTAAGTAGTGCTTTCTTTATATAATCATATGTTTAAATAGAACACTTTAACGGCTTAAAACGCGATATATTAGTTAAACTTATTTGAAAATAATTTTTAACTTTGGCCCGACGTTTCGGATGCTTAGCAGCACTCTTGGTCACGGGGAGACGAGTCAAGGTTGAAAATGATTTTTAACGTCAGGCCGAAATTAAAAATCATTTTCAAATAAGTGTAACTAATATATCGCGTTTTAAACCGTTAAAGTGTTTTATTAAGTTGTGTAGGTACTACTCGCGTAAACTATTTTACAGTATTTAAGGCATTTGTTTCAAACACAGTAAAACAAAAATATAAAAATAAAAGACGGGGACAGATAAGGATTAGATTCGATTCTTTAAATGTAATATGCCACAGCCATATAACATCTTAACAGGATGTGATGTTGCCTTTTTTGTCTTTGGTGTTTGGACACTCAAATTAATATTGCAATCGTTTGAATCTAAATTAAATATTTAAATAAAACATGGTAGTTAACCTATTTTAAAATTTATCTCCCCCGTGACCCACTGTAAAGCATCCAAAAATTTTCACTATTTTACCAACAATTTTCACAATTGTACCTTTTAATTTATACTGTAAGCATTTATTTTAAATATTGTGTTCTTAGGCCGGTTTAGTTGTATATGTATGTATATTGTGCACTGGATATGCTAATAAATGTAGCAACGAAGAAAACTCGCCTAGTAATTGTCAACGTTATTATAGAAAGTTAATGTCTAACCCACAATTTACAATGTCACTGAACTTATTATACTTTTCTTGAAAGTAGAAAACGGCGTTGATATTTATCTTATTACGTCAAGTTTACATTCTACGAAATAGACTTGACCGTCGCCTTAGTTCAATGGTTCGTTCGGTTTTGTGTCCCGGATACAAAGCAGCAATAAATAGTTTTCGGACGTGGCACAGACTACTGTCTTGCCAATAAAAAACCGGTTGAAAAACTCGCCCCATTTGTGCTCCCAGAGCACAAATACGTGTGGCTTGGTGGTAGGGTTTGGTAGGGTTTGATAGGTTTGGTAGGGCAAAGCAAGCTAATTGCCTACCGATTAATCTCGTCTCGGTTTCAATCTGTGCATTTCCGAATATCCAAAGCCAAAATAGGTCGACAGCTGGGCTGGGGTATATCACCTACTATTACCTACCATTTTAAAAGATAATAACAGTTACAGATATGTCCGCTTACGGCCCCCCTAGGTTCCCGCGATTTTACTTGTCTACTTTCAATTCTCATTTCATCTTCAATTACAGGTAATTGTATCAATTCAACGTGAACTTGTGACTTAGTTTCTTCCACTTACACCTCATCTATAAATAGATGTTTATAAATAAAAAGTTGCATAAGTATACATAAAAACGATACATTATGCATAATGCGATAACATTAAACAAAAACGAATTAACCTTGAATTCCGATTAGCATATTTGCGGTCAATGGTTTAAATGTCATTTCCTCGAAAACAAGACGAAACTGATACTATAAAGAAATATAAATAGTTTGTCTGTACATATATGTATTAAAATTGTCTGTCTCTATGTATGTACACGACAATCGCCTAGAGTGCCGCATAAATCATTTTGCAGTTGTTAACAATAAATTAACAAGGTGTAAAGTAATGTTTAGTCTTATTTTCATTAAAATCCAATACCACAAAAAAACAATGAAAGTCATTTCAGCACTTTTTAATACGTCGCGGCTAATTATGTAAATGTGAAACACTTAACGGGTTAAAATGCGAAACATATACATGAACTTATTTAAGATTCATTTTATTTACGGCGACATCTCGAATGCTTTCCAGCAGCCGTAGTCACCACTGGGTTTGTAAATAAGTTAACTAATATATTTCGCGTTTCAACCCGTTAAAAGTGTTTTATTTAAATCTGTACTACTCGCGCAAACTGGAGTAACGAAAAAAGTGTTACTTTTTTTTCGTATGCCGCGTTTATTGCCAAGTTGCTTTTACATCGGGTTTTATCGACTGGTTCTACGGGGAAGCGAACGCTAATTTCGATTTGTGTTTACACCGCTAGGTCATTATAGTTATTACCTGGCACTACATACGTGTGGCAGGAACTTGATCTCTTGTATCGAATGTCTAGCATCTATCAACGCACTTCCTATAAGGAATTTGTTATTCACTGGCACGAAGAGCTAAGTGTGTCGTTTTGTATCATGAATCTCTTTCCTCTTATTATTTGACTAGCGACCGGCTCCGCCTTCGCTCGAGTACAATGCTAATACTAAATACACGACAGAAAAACTGTGAACGTTATATATAAAAACCTTCCTCTTGAATCACTATGTTTATTTTAAAAAACCGGCCCAAAATGCGTTGCGTACTTTTAAAGGTTTTGGCGCACATACGGACAGAAAAAGGGACTTTATTTTATACTATGTAGTGATTGTCATGTTATGACGATCGGTGAGTTTATACACTATTTAACCGGGGATATTCGGAAATCCACAGATTGAGAACGAAACGCGATAAAACTTGACGACTTTTTCATCTGCCGATGGAATTTTTATATTTCTACCCGCCATTTAATATCCAGATTTTTAGAAGATTATAAATTGATAAAATATTGGTATAAATACGTGGCTACCGTTACGAGCCTTTGAAATACAAATAAGGCCCCATTAGTTACTACCTTTCGAACGATTCCCCCATTTCCCCTTTACCTGGATTGTTATCGTTTAAGTTTGAAACAGAATTATATGTACTAAGTTACCAATGACACGTGTAATTTTTTTGATTGCTTTTCAAACATTATGCACTTTCTAATCAATGGAATTACAGCTAACGGTACGTAAGTACAAAGCTGTGAGTTTCAGTGTGGTTGTTAGAGATAATTGATACGAATTGATATATACAAGACCCAGGGTACATCCAGTATAAATTAGACTCATTAGTTTATTGTCCTATCGAGGAACATGGTAGTCATAAACGGTTTTATTGTTATAAATTATTTTATAAACTTTTCATATCCCGAACAAACAGCGCAAAACAAGACATTTTTTAGATATTGTAAAAACTTATATGTGTAATAATGATTTTTATTATTTCTTTAATTGCAAGAAGGTAATCTTACATTTATATATTAACTAACTGTTACTCACGGCATCCGCGTCGTCCCGTCGTTCTTGTGAGTTGATCTTAAAAGATAGACATATATTGTCGGAGACTTATTTTTGCTGATTTAAAGAGAAATAATTCTTCACACATATCTTTCGGTTTCTTGAACCATTTTCGCCATTAAAGGTTAATAATTTTCTACTGTTTCTTTGCTCCTACTGGTCGCGTGATGTTATATAACCTAAAGTCTTAACATAAATATATTTTTTCAATTCGAACCAGTACTTCCTGAGATAAGAGCGTTCAAACAAACTACTTCTTCAGTTTTATAATATTGTTATACCTATAAAATGTTTTTTTTTCTCTATATTTGTTATATGTTCTTCAACCACTTAGTAAGTATATATGTTTTTAAATGTATACAAGTGATTCAGCATCTAATCTTCTTCTTCCTTCCTTCCAGGACTGGAAGACACCGTGAAGTTGGTCAAAGGCATTGGCGGGAAATGCTTCGGTTACGTAGTTGACTTAGCCGCACGTGAAGACATCTATCGTGTTGCAGATCAAGTTAAAAGAGAAGTCGGATGTGTAAGTTACACTAGTTATAATCATTTATTAACCTTCCAATATATTACCGACAGACACCACTACTACACCCACACCAAAGTGGGTCTTGGCCTTCACAACTAGCTTTGCGGTAATTATTAGCACTTTGCGGTGCTAAGATGTTTGTCTGTCCTAGTCTATCATTAAAAAAGTAGTATTTCAATGAAGATCTCTAGCAGACAATGAAAACACTGGAATTTCTTAATTTACTTATTTAAAAAAGCTTGTATAACCTCAATTATACTAAATGATATTAAATTACTTTCTTAAATTACTAAATCTACTTCTCTGTCCAGGTTTCGCTTCTGGTGAATAACGCTGGCGTCGTATCCGGCCAGTTGCTTCTAGACACACCTGATCATCTTATCCAGAGAACCTTTGACGTCAACATTATTGCGCATTTCTGGGTAAGTTTTAACGGAACATTTTTTATTTAGGAAGAGGGTAGTAAGCAAAGAATATCTTGACCAAATTAAAATATAGTATTTCCGATTTATAAACTTAGACCCGATCTTGTGTTATTCGTGGTTATTTCCACATTGTCCTCACAAGGACATTGTGACGCATCGGATAATCAGCTTGTCCTCAATTTTTTTAATTATTAAAAAAAAATATGCTGAACAAGGAGGAAATCGAACGCGACACTTCTTTCCTCGAATATTTGGTTGTTAAAACCAAAATGTGTCTCAAAAATAGAAACTTGTATTTTGATTAATCTTGGAACATTGTAAACACTTAAGTGATAACAGGAAAAAAAATATAATAACACGAAGCAGACTCAAGGTTAGTTTTTAGGAAAAAACAATGTGTCTGGAATATATAACAATTTCCTTTATGATTGTACATGTTTAACTGACATTTTTATAAACAACATCACGCTCTCTACGCGGTTATTGAATCGTTATACCCGTTTCACTGATCGATTTTATCTGTATTTTTGTGTTCCTCGGGATTAAAAACTCAAAGGTTTTTGCATTCAACCTAATAGGTATTAAAATTAAAATAATAAATTTTAAGGTGTCAAAATGCCTTTAACAAATAAAAAGATAATTAATGTTTCGCAGACACAAAAAGATATTTAATTCCAAAACAATATTTCTCTTAAGCAAAAAAATATATATCTTGCAGTGTTTAGTTTTTGCTGTATTGCATGCTGCCAATCTGTTAAATTATGCACTCCAAATTTTTAGATTGAGAAAATATTACGAGACGGGCATGACTTGAACCGGCATCCACAGCGAGAGATTCAAGTATCAATACGCTGAATACTGTCTATAGTTTACGCGAGTAGTACACATTTAAATAAGCTGGTCACGGCAGCTGCAAAGCATCCGAAACGTCGGGCCGAAGTTAAAAATCATTTTCAAGTTTAACTAATATATCGCGTTTTAAACCGTTAAAGTGTTTTATTTCAAAATCAATAAGCTGATAAAATCGTCGATGTCGTGTTGGACACGGTAGCTCAATTGGTTAGAGCAACAGCACCGAACGTCGAGGATGCCGGATGCAAGTTCTGCATGTGTCGTAAATTTTTTTCAATCTAAAATCGCTTTTTATTCATCTTTACTAGGTGTTAATAAGTTGTGTTTTCTCTTACAGACGGTCAAAGCCTTCATCCCAGACATGATTGAGAGTAACAACGGCCATATTGTCACGATAGCATCAATGGCAGGCCACGTTGGTGTACCGAAGCTGGTCGACTACTGTGCTTCCAAATCTGCCGCATGCGGGTTCCACGAAGCCTTGAAAGTTGAACTCGAGTCGAAAGGAGTAGACGGAGTCCACACTTCGTTGATATGCCCATACTTCATACGTGCTACTGGAATGTTCGAAGAAGTTCAGTCTAGGTGAGACGTCACACGCTTATACTAGCATTTTATGAATGCCAAAAAATGGGAAAATAGTTCTGATACATTAAAAGTCGATTATAATTTTAAAAATTTACGATACGGGCAGTACTTGAACCGCCATCCAGAACATTCCGTGGTGTTGATCTAACCAATTGAGCTACCGTGACCTACACGTTATCGTCGAATTTATCGTATAAAGCCTTCCTCGATTAATAGTCCAACTAACACAAACAGAATTTTCAATTCAAAATAGTGTTTCCTTAGATAAGCGCGCTCAAACAAACCCTTCAGCTTTATAATATTGGCATACTTTTCCTCGCCCAAAATGGTGAAATGTGTAAGTTACAAGTCCTATTTTAAATAAAACACTTTAACGGTTTAAAACGCGATATATCCGTTAAACTTATTTGAAAATTATTTTTGATTTCGGCCCGACGTTTCTAAGTCCTATCCACCTTATCACACGTTTTTATTAAAATTTTGTAAACTATAATAAATCAGATAACAGTCTATTGTATCGCAAAACAAATATGAGAGTGCGAAAAGTATTGTAAAATACAAAATAAAGGGTGTTTATTTCATTGAATTTGGTTTCGAACATTTTCTTAACATTTGTATAGGCACTTCGTTTGTTACTGAGGCGATTGTATCTTTTTTTAATCGTCATAATAAAGTTGAGACGCGTTAATCAAATTATTTACGATTAACATCTGCACGTTAAAGACTGTACGAAATATAAACGTGTTAAGTGTCATTATTTGCGCAGTTGATATTTTTTCTTATCTGTCTATATCTCTATTTATTTAAAATACCATTATATAACATATGTATACAGATGTTCAATTTTTTTATATAGGATATTTTTTCGTAGTTTTAAATTGCATAATTTGTCACAGGATCGTTCCTCAGCTGAATTCTAACGACGTGGCAGATAGAGTAGTTTACGCCATTCGTACAAATGAGAATGTTGCAGTGATACCCAGTTATCTTCGGATTTTGTTACCGTTCAAATGGTGAGTTAAGTGAAAACTTCTTCTGAATAACTGAAGAGTTCTTTTTAGACTATACGATTATATAATAATGAATGATTTGAAGCAGCAAAATATGGTGCATTATTTCGAAATAACATTATAGCGTAGCGCATTTAAGTGGTACTTTGAACTTTTAAGTAAGATTTAGGTGGGACATATCAATTATATAGTAAATAAGTGCATATTTTCAATATGTAAAAGGGAATTAAAGATAGATTATTAAAGAAAGCACATAATTTTTTACATAATTAAAAATCAAAATTGTTAAGAAACGACAGATATAACTTGCTAAATAGATTGTTACTGATAAATATTTCAGAAGTTTTATACTTGGAAAAATATGAGCTTTACTATTCTTATTTCATTCTGCAATTATATATTTCGTAGTCTTTATATCGATTCAAAAGTTGTGTCTCTTTTAAAAACAATATAAAAACGAATATGTTACTCAAGTTTTTGATTTACAAAAAGACAAAAAACCTTCGAAAAAAGTAATAAGCATCTTAAAAAAATAAAATATTACACACTAAGGCTTGTTCAAATGCGTTTATATATTTTGCAGGATCGTGCCATGGGCCAGTGTATCTGAGATTATTCGCAGCATGGTAACTGACGCCATGCCCGGATCTCCAGTACCTCAAGCAGATCGGAAGATGCAAGCAGATGTTCCCAAAATAAACGGCAAAGTGGAGTCCCGGCCAATGACCTTGATACCGCCGGCACGACACGACCGTCACGTTTGACAAAGCCGTTTCAAATCGAGTTTTGTTATAAGGACTAACCTGTAGAAGTAAGAAACTCACATACAGAAATGTTTGACATTGTGACGCACTACTGACTCGAAGGACCAGATCTTTAGATCTGCAAACTTTGAAATCATTACAGACATTCTTAATCATACCAACCAGTTAAATCCACTTTAATACAATTGTGACGTGTTTAAGAAAACATATTTTACCATATCGATGACGAAATAACAATTAACGAAGAAGGCGTAGATTAAGTCAATGGAAAGACGAGAAGATAGTTTGGCAGAAATAAGAAACTTAGGAATGATGTAAAAAAATCACTTAAATTATTGAAAAATAATTTAAGGAGAAATTAAGCAATTCTAACGAAATGCGGACCAAAATTTATCATTAGCAATTTAATTTCGATTAAATCTTAGTTAACGTTCTGTTATTTTAGTAATAATCTTTCGTTCGTTTAACCAAAAATAATGGTGCAATTAAAGTGTCCTTATCTAATAAGTAAAATGGTTATCTCAAATCAAAGACAAACCATTTTATAAGAATAAATTGACCCTTTATTGGACGAATTATGTAAAAGGATATTCTGTAGACCCAATATCAACGATGTTTAGTTAAGACTAGTTTTAGTAACGCTGTGGTACTTAGTCAATAATTAAAAGGAGATTTGGATGTGATTTCTAGTGTAATAGATTAGTTATTTTTAGTTTTCCTTTTATAACACTGTTATATTTGCATTATATCAACGTAACCCGAACGCGTCCTACATATCTTTTAATACTATTTTTGAATACTTAATTTTTCGATATAATTAGTTCAGTTGAACATTCGCCTAAATCAAGTTTACATTGAATTTGACAGCTAGACGCGTTACGTAACGAGGCGTTTCACCCTTTCAGGAATTTATTACTTGGAATCTATATTGCAAAGTAGTAAAAAAATCTGCAACATCACATTCTCAGATGTTGCAGAGCAGGGGATCTGAAAGTTAAGAATTCTAGAAATTTCGTCAGTTACCTTAAATTGCAGTCTGGCAGGAACCAAAAGCAACTTGTTCTTAATTACCTCTTAACATGTACCTAGGTAATTGAAAGGGTTCTGTTTTAAATGTAAGATTTGCTCAAAATCTACCTCCAGCATGAATTGGTGTTAAATCTTTTTCTAATGAGAAAAGATATAATGTTGATTCAGGCCTGGCACATTCACTTGTACATAGAGTAGTTGATAGTTTTGTTATACGCATAAATATAATTATAATTCGCTGTCATTTGAATCTGAAAAGAGACACATTGCAGTGATTATTGAAAAGGCTACTAATTTCTTTTCTTATTAATATAACGAAAAGCAATGTGTATGAGTTGAATTATCACTAAGACATAATAGCAAATGAGTTAATTTCATTGATTCTTAATAATATCCAAGTTAAATACTGCTATACTCTATAGTTTACGCGAGTAGTACACATTTAAATAAAAAACTTTAACGGTTTAAAACGCGATATATTAGTTAAACTTATTTGAAAATGATTTTTAACTTCGGCCCGACGTTTCCCCCTCTTTCCCGTTTCAGTCTCCCCGTGACCATGGCTGCTGCAAAGCATCCTAAACGTCGGGCCGAAGTTAAAAATCATTTTCAAATAAGTTAAACTAAGTAATACATCGCGTTTTAAATCGTTAAAGTGTTTTATATAAATATCCAAGTTTATATTACAAACGGTTGCATTTCAGTGATTGAAGGTAAAATTCTATTGACAATTTAATTCGATATTTTTTCTATTTTCAGAAAAGTAAGAGCGAATTATAATTATAAGGACACAAATGTTACAAATGAGAATTAGCATATCTTATAATACAAGACACATCTATCACAAGCATTTTAATGGGAGACAATTTATTATAGTGGTTAAACATTATTAGATTATCTAGTTTTGCATTTTCATTCCCTTCAATTAATTAATATATCTGTCATTAATAAATTGTGATACGGTGAAATTTGAATAACAATTAATATTTTTGTACGAAAATAAAAATGTTTAATTTATCATGTGTTTTATTTAGCTCTGTTAACATACGAACTCACTACAGTACAACATTAATAAAATTGTAAGTACAAAATAAAACAAAGGACTAGTAAAACCATAAAACTATCGCTTTGAACACGATATAATACACTGGTGTTTTTGTCATTAAAATATCTAAGTACTAAAATGCCCTTAATTTTTAGATACAAACGTGTTATATGAAATTCTTAAGAATTCAACATAAACTTAGTATATAAAACAAGAATAAAAATTATATTAGTTCGGTTACACGACCCTTATATTATTTATTTAAAATGTTGAATAACCAAAGTTATATAGCACCTTTGTTTGGTTAATGATTTAAGAGTAGTTTAGGTAACAAAATAATATAATATGTAGATTAATTACTATATGATAGCATCTGTCACAATTACAAGATCAACAAATAATAAATATATGCCTTATTGTTTAAATGAAAATGGCTTAAGTCTTAATACGTAGCCCTAATCAAATGCGAAGTTGTTTCTCTCCCTCCGCTTCGCTGACAACCGGTGGGACATTAAATGTGACAATGTTTGAATAGAAAAAATCTAAAATAACATGCAATAAGATTTGAAGCGAAACGTCGGCAAAAAGACGGTAGATAAATTTCGTTGCAAATTTGAATAAGTAAAGTTGTGATTAGGTAATTTAAGTTTAAATGGCCTTTAAATGAAAAAAAAAATTGTTATAAAATGCATTTTGGCCCATATAAATATTAAACAATGTATCCATCTTTATATTATAATTGTACTTGATGGCTGTTCATGTTTTTCGGGTTTTAGGAAAATTTCGATAATAACCCTGGTTAATGGGTTAAGACATATATTTTTACACTTTTCAATAGGGCTTCGTCATGTGGATGTGGATGTGTTATTCATACTTACTGGTAACAAAAATCGATTTCTTATGTTAGTCTGTCAATATCGGAATTCCAAGAAATTACTAGTATAAATTAAACATCGATTGTGGATTGAAAAAAAATTACGATAAGAAGAGGACTTGCATTGGCATCCACTATAACCAATTGAGCTACTGTGTCCTGTAGACACGGTAACTCAATCGAATCGAAATCATCGTCGAATTTTTTCAACTTTTTTATACACGTAACCTCGCGCAATGTAATTTCAATCTTAACTCTTAATAGCTTATGTTCAATGTCTTATGCTTAGCAGCTTAAGGAAATCTTTTAAGATGAAATTACAAAGTTTAACGTCTGAAAACATGAATATTTTTCACATCTATATATATATATATATAGCGCTCAATAAACTTAAAAAAGTTAACGATGACGTGTAGGACGCGGTAGCTCAATTAGTTAGAGCAACAGCACAGAATACAGTTTCAGTCTTGCCTGTGTCGTATTTTTTTTCTATTTATAATCGACTTTTTAATCATAAGAATACATTAATTTCGCACATCATTTATCTCGTGGAAATGACTCCGGCAACGTAAACTGAGATATTGGCGAAATGTACAACGGGTTCAGCTCTTGCATATTCTTTCTACTCTCTTGAGCTTCTTGCAGGAACTTCGCGTACGCCCTTCTATCTGATACTATCTGGGCACTCTTAACCGCCAAGATGATGATGACTCCGCCGAGGATGACACATGCCATAGTTATAAGGGCGCTTGTTAAAATTTTCGCGGTTGTCGGTTGAAAGCACTCTTTTGACCTGATCACGATTTCCATGGAGATCATAGCTTGCTCTGCTGCGTTGTATGTATACCTGTATTCGCAGTCCAGACCAGCTTCCTCACGCCGTAAGATGCAGGGGATGTCGTTGACGTTTGGGTTCTCTGAAATAAGTTAAGTTAGAGCTGTTTAATACCTGTCTATATCCACCATTAAAATAACACTTAAGTCAAAATAGTCTTTAAACGTTCTAAATGTGAAATCCCGTTTCCTCTCGTGGGGTATGGGACGAACAAACATTTCTCTGTCTGTTTCAATAACCGGTAAATACTTGATACATACTTTTGTGCTCGAGCGAAATAATCTATTGTTTTCCCGGGAGTCAAACCCAAGAGATTTCGCGCTTAATGCAATGCTCAGAACACTTTTAATCATTTGGCTTCAGAGCCGGTGTTGGAGTCTTTAGTTTTTAAATGGTGTAACGTTCATAAGTGTACTTAGTTACCTGCCAGAATAAATGATTTTTGACTTTGACTTTCTAAGAACACAGCTTAACTCTAGCAAAGCTGATATTTTGTAAATTACTCTCTACCGCAAACGAGCTCAACCATTATTGCGACCACGAAAAAATGAAACAGTTTGTGTTAATGGCGGCTTGAGTCCTCAACTTAACCGCAATCATTTTGTAATAACTAGACTTTATTGTGGGAACCAGAATTATAAGAGTCATTTGCTGTTCGCCTAATGACTATGCGAATTCATATAAGCTTTACATATATCAATAACGTTTTAATCTCGTTTCCTTCGGGTCAGGAGGCAGACACATTTCTATGTCTATTTCATTAATCATTAATCACCATGATTTGTACCCAGAAAATATGGGTTCACGCTTATATAACAGAATTAACTAATTAAAAATTGAATTAAAAAATTACGCGTAAATAAAGTAGTTTCGATTTCAAATAAATAATATTTAAACGCCCTAAATCCTATTAAACCATTTAAATCTATATTTGAAACTCTAGGTACAGTGCTCTCCAAACTTTTTGGCGGGGCTGAAGTTAGCGCGGAAGGTTGCGGGTTTTGCGAAAGAAGGGTGCGCGGGTGTAGGGCGACACGACTTTTTGCTTAAAATTGACAGTACCATGCGCAAGATGGCGGTCGCGCTAACTTCAGCCGGGCCAAAAAGTTTGGAAAGAACTGTAACTACTATGAGTATGGGTAAACATTTAAAAGTAAAGTTTTCTACTAATCAAGGAAAAAAGTCGTTTTATTACCTTGTAACCGTTCGCTGACAGTGTAATTAAGACCACCAATACTGCACGTCTCTGTGCAATTATTGTTCAAGTGACAGAGGACGCAGGGTTCAGCGTTAGCACAGAGTGGATTCTCACAAGTGGCGCACGTTTCACAAAACATTCCTGAATATTTCATACCGTCTGTTGTTGAAGCACATTCACACATACCTTGAGGGACACAGGAACTAGTGTTAAAAAAATTTAATGTGAAAATGTGATAACGCATTTGCTGTTTATTTCATACTAGACTTCATCCGCTTGCAATGGTTATTTTGAGTATGAACATTTATTATTGCAAACAACCTCCTTAGCTTGCGAGATAATCTTAAAAAATAGACTGATGCGGACATTTTTAGTCGATTAAGATTAGTTTAGTTTTTTTTTAGATTTCGTAAATCTTTTTCGAATTGCATGCCTCGGAAGAATCAAAGATAAATAATTCTTTTCGTTTTTTCCACATTTTCAATTCGAATCAGTAGTTACTGAGATTAGCGCGTTCAAATATATAAACAAACTATTCGGCTTTATAATATTAGTATAGATTATTTTTCACCGCGAGAATTCAGAAGCCTCTTAATTTTAATAAGCAATGTCGTAGATAAGCGTTTTTCCAGGGGGAAATCGGATACTATTTCTTTCCTGATAAATATTCATAATTGTTTATAAAGCCGACACTAACCACAAACACAATCGCCATGTCCCGAACAAACCGCTTCATCTCCAGGTGGAATACAATTATCGACATTATCTGTACAATCGCAGGCTTCTCCACTCCAACCAGCCTCGCAAGCACATAGGCCGCACACACACGCACCGTGACCGACGCCTCCACACTCCATGCCATTTAATCTAAAAGTTTTTTTTTTTCAGTTTAAAAGAAGAAACTAGACCGTACTGGCAATCAATCTTTTGCGATATAAAGTATTACGATGAAATTTCATTCGCATAAGAAGGTTCTTGTGATTTAATTTTAAAAGAGATAGAGATAAAGAAGATAGAGATTCGGGGACATTTTTCTTATTATTCAAAGAGGAATCGTTCTTTTATACATATGTTTTTGCTATCTTAAATAGTTTTCGTAGACAATAACGGAACTCTCAATGATGAATAATTTCTCCCCATTTTTCCCCCATTTCCCCCTCTGTCTTCGCTCTTATTGGTTGCAACCTGAACCTGAACCTCTTTTACCTTAGCGCCTTCAACCAAACCTTTAAACAAACTCTTCAGCTTCCTAAGAATAGTATACATTATTAGGTTTTTTAGTGACTCTCACTTGGCCGCTTATTTTTTTTATCTCTTACCTACTAATTTCGCAGTCTTTACACTGACAGTACTTCCCACTAAAGCCCCTATCGCATTCACATTTCCCACAAAGACAGTCACCGGCTCCAGAACAGGTCATCAGGCGAGTGGAGTTCGGTTCACGGCATTGAGAGAGGAGTGCCGCGGATGCTGCTTCGTCTTCAATGGAGCAGTCACACTTTGGACCGGACCTGGAATTATGGAGTTTGCGATATGGAGTATGTCAATATAACCTTGTATTTTTTAATACTATTTGGTATGGCAGTCATGGGTAATTCTGTTCAAGGGATTATGTTAATAGGAAATTTAAATAATTATGAATTTCAAACAACGGAAGTCCCTTGTGTGTGAAATCCCATTTCCCCCTCGTGGGGCACGGGGCGACAAATCGGTGTCCGTTTCTCTGATACGTTCTATTTACAGGCAAGTAGTTGATCATGTTTCCGTGCCGTGCCAAAACAATTAATTGTTTTCCCGGGATTTGAACCCAGGATTTTTCGGGATAAACGCAAGGCTAGGCAACACGTTTAACCATGTAACTACAGAGGTGGCGATAGAAGTCATAAAGCCTAAAACATCAGATTTTACTTTTTTTTTTTCAAAGTAAAAAGAATTGGATATTATAAGTATATTATAAGAAAATCTCTTTAATGTAAAACGTACCATCCCTTATTACACTGGCACACTCCACACACCAGATGTGAATGTAAAGGACACGTAAGGGACATATCCTTTATGTTATCACTTGCGCAGGCGCACCCACACTGTATATATATTTCTAAAGTCAGAGAGTCCTGGCCGAGCTGGCTTTCGGATATTGTGATGGTTTGTTGCATCTGAAATTATATTATCATCGATCATTAATGGGAAATATGTAGAATAAGAGAGAGAGAGAGAGAAAAAAAACTGGTATTTAGTATAAAAAATTTAATTATGCTTTATTTCGATTGTAGGTCTTTGTTACATACTTAATCGATGGAAATAGTGAAATGTTATAACTTTCTCTAGACAAATTATGTGGTTACGTATATTATAGAAAGAGGTTTGTTTACAAAATTAACCAACTCAAATGGAAGAATAAGTTACTTCCGTTTTCTTACTACGTACTTTTTAAATGCGAGCTCTAAGTCTTGTATATTTAACGGCTACAATAGACATTATTTTACCTAGTGACCAAAATTTCGAAATATTTTCTTATTACAGGTACAGTTAAATACACAAAAACTTTAATTTTCAAAAGTATACCAAACAGTATGCGAAAAGGCTACCTTTTTGAACTCGGGACAAGATTCCAATGTGACATGGGCCTCGTAATTAAGCGTCATGCCATACTCGACGCCAGTACATCGATGGGTCTCGATCAACGAACCACCTTTCACTCCGCAATCTGTGAAGTACTTAACCTTCACAGCACCTGCGCTCGCGTCGTCTTCGAAGTTGACGACGCTGACAATGTCTTCGTAACCCATCTTCACAAGTTTCAGAATGTTCGAACTGTCGCTTTCCAGCTTGGCTATGTATGTGAAGTCGCTGAGCAGTTGGTGGAGGCTGTCGTAGTGGTCTTTTACGCTTTCTGTGACTGCGAAGATCACGTTTACCTGGAATTTTATTGAAATAATATTTTATTGAAAATGAAGTCAAACGTTATAAGTGTGAAAACAGGCCTTATAAAAAGACTAGCAAGGTAACCTTCAAAAGTTAGACATATACTTCAGTGGTCGTTTTTAAATATTTCTTTTATACATACTTTTTGGGTATCTCGAACCGTTTTTGCAGTTTTTTCCACATTTTCCGCTGTATCTTTGCCCTTATTAGTCGCAGCATAATGTTTTATCCTCGATAAATAGTCTAACCAATATAAAAAGCATTTTTCAATTCGAAAACAGTAGTTCCTGGGAATAGCGCGTTCAAACAAACAAACTCTTCAGCCTTACATATTAGTATCGAATTTTAAGAAAGTTTTAAGTAACGAGAGGAGCTGCACTAATAAACACAAACTTTATTGTTTCTTAAGATTATTTACGAACTTCATATATGGTTACACTATTCAATATAATTAGATATGTACCTGATTTGATGCGACCGAAAATTTTTTTTTTTTTTTGGGGTTGTGGTTTTTTTGAAACAGTTTGACTATTTCTAACAGCATTAAAAAGTAACTAATCTAGTTTACCCCTTTCGTCTTGCTATTCAGTGATAGATACAAAATTAAAAACTTAATTAAATACTTGTAGAATTTATCAAACAACGAAAACAACATTGTACCAATTTAACTACGTCTTCAACCGACCAATTGTTTTTTTTAAACTGTTTAACCTATGAAAATATAGATTAGAAGTACTTAACACATTACGCAAAACGAACTCACAGCAAACCCACGCCAGTTTACTTTTCTGATAAGCAATGAAAAGATTTGCGTAACGCTGTGTTATAATAGAGATTTTGTGTTCTATTTACCTTGTACTTATCTAAGAGCCGATAAACCTGCGCTATGGAGGGATAATCGTATTTGGCGGCTTCTGAATAGTACCCGTTTTCATCTAAATGACATGTCTCATCGTTCTTCAAGGATGCGCCACCTGTAAATGGATCATAAATCTATCCAGCATAGGTTATCCTGGGTTCAAATGTCGGGCAATTAAAATAGTTTTGGTCAAGCATAATATAGAAGTCCAAGTAACTATTTCCTGTGAAACAGACATATAAATGAGTCGAGCCCAAAGAAGGAGGAAGTGAATTTCCCTTATATTTAGATTTTGGGCATCAACATTTTTTTTTGCGAATCTTTATAATTTCGAGTAGCTTTTACCAACCACGTCATCTGTGTCTCGTCGTGTTTACAAGTTATTCTTAAAAGATAAAAAAGATAATCATTTCAAACCATTAGTTCCTGAGACTAATGCATTCAAACAAAAAAATAATATTATGGTCGTCTCTTAAGTGACCAATAGCAGATATATTCGTTTTCACTGCTCGCGGAATCACCACTTGGAGCAAGCAAGGTGTGCAGCGAGATTTAGTAATAATTATGTAACTGTCATAAATGTTATAGGTTATCGTTTACTTCATAACAGCTTACCTAATTTCCCATCGCCAGCTGTATGAAGCAAGCCGTCAGACAATAGTATGATAATTTTCCGACTATGCGTTCCCCAGCCTATCCGGTTGCCACAAGTTATAGCTTGCACCAGCGCGTCTAGCTGGGCTTCCGCGTTGTCCAAATTCGCTGTGACGGAACTGCTATTCACGCTTTCTATAAAATCGTTCACCTTGAAACAATAATAGTTATGGCGTTAACGCGACGTCGTGACAAAGTTTTAAGTACAGTAGGAAAGGTAAACAAACTTTGACTCGACGATACAAGACTGGAAAGTGTACGCTGTTCTTTTCATACGCACTGAAATAACCATATTTTTTTATCACAACAAGATCTATTTAAATACTAAGCTCGTTATTTTTAATTAAACATCGACTTTAGATTAGAATTTTACGACACGGATAGGACTAACTGGCATCTACAGCTCCCGTGTTGGCGCCGGCCCCCCGTCGATTTGTTCGCTAGTAGTGCATTAATGCACTTCTAGCGAAATTAATTAAAAAATATTTCAACACAAATCTAATTTTAAATTGATAATGTCATCCTTTGCAATAACATGTGAAAAATATTAATACTTTCAAAAGCGAGTTTTATTTTTTTTTAAACAAGGGGGGTATACAAATATAAAAAGTAATAAATTTTACCTCTTCTTTAAGCTGTTTTTAAAAGAGTTCAGAAAATAAAAGTGGATTATGCGGACTGATAAATCCAAAAGCGTTCCTATTAATTTCAAATGAGATTTAGAGGATAATTGCTATTAGTATGGATCACCTGATTTGTAAGAGAGAGGTGATGCTTATAACTGTATGTTGCTTCACAATCCTCTTCTTCTACTGAACAAGGATTGGCCCGACGCCCTGGATCCACGCTTATAAATGGCATAATTGGCTTCTCGGCAAAGCTGCCGAAACCTAACCTGAAATAAATAATTACTTATACATATTGTGTAAAGTGCATCAAGATAACTGCATCTCAAATACATTATTCAAATATATTTTGTTTGTTTCAACGCGGTAATATCAGGAACTACTGGTTCGAAAAGATATTGTTCTGTTGGTTTGAATATTTATCGAGGAAGACTTTACACTATTATGTGCGCAAGATCAATATGGTGAAAAATTTAATCCTGTTGTCGGATGATTACTATAATAATATATTTATAGAATTTATATTATGAAGATAAAATAGCTATAGAAATAAAATAATCTATAAATCCGATATAGTTATTTCCAAAAATAAATTATATGACTATTCCACGCGACAAAGTAGCGGTAACAGCTATTAGTTATATGAAGAAACTCACCGAAAATTATCAGTTAAATTCTTCAGCATTTCCGGCAAATCGTCTCTAAGTGACACGAGGGTTTTCTTATCGTCTTTCATTGACCACGTTAGATCCATCAAGTAGTACAAATCGAGAGGATAATTTTTGGCCGGCCTGTACTGGAATTTTATTTTTTTCGTTTCACCTGGAAACACGTAAGAATTTTATAATCTTAGACCCTAAACATGAAATCAGCCCGATAACACCTTCAGATTAAAATATAATTTTTAGCTTTTCATACGTAACAATCAACGGGCCGTGGGTTCGAGTCCCATAACTTTTTCCAAAGTCCAAATTTTTCTAAACAATAAATCATTTGTTTGAAACGTGTTGGACTTCGTCTGGAAATCTGGATATTAAATGATGGGTAGAAATATCGGAATTCCGTCCGGGTCACTAACAGTTTCCCAGATGAAAAAGCCGTGAAAGTTTAATCACGTATCGGTTTCATTCTGTAGATTTATAAAAATCTAAAACCAAAATAAGGCGGCGCATCTTGTTTAGATGGTAAAGGTATTTCACCAATTCAAGTGAATCATGCTTGTTTGTTCTCATTTAAAAAATAAATTGTACAGATGCCTCGCATACCTGAAGGCTTTGACACGATGTTTAGTTAAAGAAATATTATTTTACGCTTACGTGCTTTTAAAGACAACTTTATCCTCTGCGGTTGTATCTGAACAGCCGCCAGGCCATCTGGTAACATGTCCTGGAGACTATTGTTTTCCATCACTTCCCATACAGGTTTATCTGGTCGTTCTATCATGCCTTGTCCACAACCAAACGCAACTAAACTGAAAAAATACTTTTTTTGTTGCATAAAAGTGGCTATATAATTAATTATACTTTTCTTATAAGAAGTGAAATGATATATCGTAGCCGTAGAGTAGCCATTCTGTCTTCCTGGGATTCAAACCGGCGCCCCTTCGCGTTTAGGCCCAAATAATGGTAGTAGTTCCACCGACCATCTCTTGGGCTGTTTTCTAAACGATAGCAAACCAGATATCTACGAACATTGTATCTTTTTTTTTTGTTATATGTATAATGATATAATAGTAGCGGCGTGAAAGCTTTACAAAGACACTTTAACATTAGTTAAAAACTGCATTTGACAACGCAATAGAAATAAACGTATGTAAAAAGGTTTCACAAAGCATGTATGTAAATGAAGTCCAAATAGCTTTAAATGTAAGCGCGTGTTAAAACTAAAGAGCAAATGTACAAATAGAAAAGTCGAAACAATGAACACTTCAAAGAGCATAAAGGTCGTTCTTTTGAACATGTGCATCTTATTCTGACCCCTTTCACTGTCTTAAGTCATGCCCGATCAATGATAAAGTTGAGGCGGCATCTTGAAAGACTCGGTATTAATTTATCAAACGTGAACTGTAACTGATGTGATTTTAAGTATTCATTCATGCCCATGAGTTGAGGGAAACTTGTACATGCGCGCCGCGTTGTAGGGAGTTCGACTCTCCATCGTTCACGAGATTAATGTGAAAGATTTGTCGCCAGATAACCAGCTCGAACCAAAAACCCAACGACATGTGTGAACTACCAATATACGTTTAGACAATGTAGTTGCCTTGTGTCCCAACGGTGGGAACTATTAAAAAGGCAAATTTTGATGTAAAGTACATTAATCGATTATTAAGTAAAAAAAAATACTTTTGATATTAATTTTAAAATGTACTACATATTACCAAACAGGGCGGAAATGACTTTCTAACATTCCTAAAATACTTTGTGCTTATTAATTTTGAAGTTAAAATAGGTTAATTTTTAAGAATTAACTTTATTGTAACCTTTATTCAAATATAAACTATAAACAAAGTAAACAAGTTTATAAGGTAGTCGCATTATTATAACCAAGGCAATAAGAACATTAAAGCTATTTCATCTGATCATGTTCGACGATCGATCACAAGTGTCTTGGTTTTGTTTAACATTTAATTATAGCGGTACTATAAATACGATTCTAATTCTGTAAGTGCAATATTACAACACTTTTAGCCTTGAACGAAATATTAGTCTATAGAATGTTATTAAGACTTTAAACACTAAACCAACTTAATAAACCCAACTAACACTACCAAATATTAACAGTTATTGGCTCAAGGACGACAATGTACAAAAGGAAGAGTAAAAATTGTATGTATGTATGTATGTATTTTTTACCCTTGCGTCAAAAATGCCGAAAAGTTTCTGATGCAGGATCTTCATCGAATCGAATTAAAATTGACTACGAAAAAAAACCTATCAACGATTCAAGAACAAAAAATTCGTACCTTTAAATCCAAAAATATATCAGAAATATGGTTTGACTTAACCATTAATACATAGTTAGGTTATTTACATACACTACTTATAAATGATATTAAGACTACCTTTGGTCATCATTACACCGTGGAGCAGCCGAAGGGTAATAGGGATCTGCACACCAGCGACAGTGAGAAGCAGCAGACAGACAGGAACCACATTCCTCGTGTTCTATACAAACCAGCTTCTTTACCAGATCTCGCTGCTGAAGGACTGCAACAATTATATTTGTTCACTTTTTGGTATTTTAAGAGATTTTTTCATAATAGAGAAGGAGTTCACTAGATGAGTTGAAATACCCCAGCCATAACCCCTACACAAGATGCGCTTTCAAATAAAACACTTTAACGGTTTAAAACGCGATATATTAGTTAAACTTATTTGGAAATAATTTTTAACTTCGGCCCGACGTTTCGGCACGACGTTCCGCCGTGGTCACGGGGAGGCCGAGTCTCGTTAAAGTGTTTTATTTAAATGTGTACTACTCGCGTAAACCTATTTTCGCTTTGGATACACAGATGTTAAGTGCTGTCCCAATACAGAAAAACTATGTTAATTAATTTTTAACAATCGATGCGAAAATATGCATAAGAAGTATTGTTTTATTCGTCGTCGGTTTGAACTCTTACGCACTTCTAATTAATAAGTTATGTATAAGAAAATTCAGTAGGTACAGTGAGTCGCGTCATTTTTATACAACCCTTCTTTAATTTTATTGAAATAATGATTAATTACGGTCACGTGTACCCTTTGCATGTAATGACACCTGAAAGCTTACAAATATAACTAAGAAAAAATCTAAACTATCGTCGGCCAAACCACAATTGGTTACGCGCCCATAGTCACGACCTATAATGAACAGCTGTTATATAGTTCATACATTATTTTATTGCATTAGTACGATGGTACTGCCAACAGCTATATTATTTATTCAATGATAAAATGAATAGTTCTGATAATAAGAATTATTTTATTTCTTTGAAAATGTTGTGGTCTATGTTCTTACACAGATAAGATCTTTTTAACATGTATCGTTTTAAGTTATTAATGAAACAGCTGGCTTCATACTAGAGAGCGTTTAAGAGTTTACTACTACACTACGGCAACTAACGCCACTAAACTACTTGTGCTACTTTGGGTTGGTGCTGGAAATTTTCTAATAAAAATCCTAATAATGAGAACCGCGAGAGCGATCTGATGATCTATACAACACATATTCTGAAGTGTTGTCTGTAGTGTACGCAAGTACACTTTAAGTAAAACACTTTCAAGGATCGTAGTTAAAATAAATTGTAAGTCAGTTAAATAATATATATTGCGCGTTTTAAACCGTTAAAATATTCTTCACATAATATTCTATTATAAATACAGTTAAATTTTTTTACAAAGTACCAAGCAGTCTTGGTCTTAGACGACAGCATTCACGTTTTTAAGACGGTGTCTTTAATCTCGTTCTTTAAAGGTATATCAAGATAACTCCATGGGATTTGGGTTAATCAGAACCACGAAAGTACCATTAATGATTAATATCTGTTAAACGTCGCGTGTAAGTGCATCTTATGTGGGTAAATAGGCCAACTATCGAATTTGATAAGCAAAGATTAATGTTGTCTGACACATCTAATTTGTAAAACGATTTTATTCAACTTGCCCTGTCTGTTTGTTTGGGTCAAATTTAGTAATTGTAATTTCACTCGTTTCCTGTTGACAGATTGATGTGGATTTATTTACAGACTATTTTTATTGCATAATCATACATAAATACATGACTGTAAATCCAAGATGGCCGCTATGAAATTGCGGATTGTCTAATATATCTAAGAATTAAATATCTGTGTGTATCTTAGAAGGTTGTCTAGACTTGAAAAGTAAAAGAAAATAAAACAAAATCTAGGGTTATAACTAGCTAATTTATTAATTGTACCATTTTTACGTGTTTTTTTTTTACATTTATAATTTTTACTTTTTCATATGGCAGCTTGTAAGTTAATTTAGAAATGAATCGAAATTTATTGGGAACTTTTATTCATATAGATGCATAGATCGCTCAGTTGACAGCGAAACGGCACTATCTACGTACAAGCGTCTACGACGCGTTATTGCCGTCGTATTTTTATTCAATATTTCTTATTATTTCATATATTTCTAGGCTTCTACCCAGAAAAACAACGGTATATATATGCAAAAAAAATGCATTAGCCTAAGAAGAATATTCTCGAATTGGTTACTTATTCCAGTTCCACTAGGCTGAGGCAATATTATGTAGTATATACTTATATAAAATACGTATTTGAGGAAGGGGAATGCCTTAAACTTCGAGACTCAGTTGATAAACACATTGTTTACCATTAGAGCTATTAATTATTGCAATGAAGATATTGAATCCTAAGGACACATAACCTTCCTTCAGGACATGTGTTCTTTAATATAAATTGAATGATTTAATATCTCCAAATTAATCTGTGACAGCCGTGAACACAATAGATATATGCTAGCGGTGCACAACAAAAGAACTAATGTCATTCATTAATGCCGTACAGACAGGTTCATTAGTGAGGAACGTGACGTGAGTTTTACAGTCGTGTATAAATACGCACATCGTTACTACAGCGAATGAAAGCTTCAAAGTCTCACTATAAAAAATGCTACTGTATGATTTATATATCTTAAAGCCTTTTCACGCAGACCTGTTTAAATTGAAATTCAATAGTATTACAAAAATCAATGATACAAGCGGGACTATATTGAATACAGTGTTTGTTAATTGTTTCTGTAGAGCATTTCGCGTCCTGTCAATCGAGTATTAATATCTACTACTTAATTTCAGCGTTATATTGAAACCTTAACGTGCACTTCAGTCTGTAGTGGTTTTAGAAAACAATTTTTTAATGTGTTCCTTGAACAATAAAACATGGAAATCTATTTATTTAAGATAAAACACTGTAACGATTTATAATGCGATATATTAGTGATACCACGAGTCTTCCCGTGACCACGGCTGAAGCAAGACATCCGACGTGGACCGAAGTGTCTTTTGATATTTACCTATCGCTAGCCGTTAAATTGTATTATTTAAATGTGTACAATTCACTTAAACTATTGTTAAATCTTTTTGACGTCAAAAATAACAACAAGGTTTCTATGCGTTTATCAAGCCGAAGTACAAACAAAGACGAAATTACTGAATACGATGGGACTGAAAATGTTACCATTTAACTATAATTTACAATTATGTAAAAATAGCTTACCTTCCTATAGTCTCTATACATACAGTTTTAGAAATGTATTGACCCTAATTTCGTTTGCCTCGCCCCTTCTCTTGATTATTTGTTTATAAGAAACTCACTTAACAACACATGACTGCACGTCTCTGTATTTACATAGAATACGTTTTATTGGCTAACGTTAAGTTGTCATACTGTGTGAACACACTTAGAAGTATCTATCAGTATTGTACTATCTTTGTAAACGTATTGATGTAGAAACAAAAAAAAAGAATAGAAATTATATTCCTTACTATAAAAGGTTGATAGGTAATAAAACGGACTCAAAAGCTTACAATCTGTAATTTAAATATTTAAGAATAATTTAATTTGTAAAATTGCAAAAATAACATGTTTTAAATACAAAAGAGTTAATATAATAATTAATTCTGCGAATATTCTTATGATATAAAAAAATTGTACACTGTTTAAAATCATGGTTATGCTCAAATTTCACAACAAAAGTGGGCGAGAGCAGATTGATATTAAGCAGACCACCGCAATATGTAAAAAATCTACTTACATGTACGAGTTTTACATTCATCAGTATAGATTACACTACAGTCCACAGATTACAAACTAATAAGTTACTTTACCTGAAAGAATGTAAAAATGTAATTAGCGTTGATTATACTTGTTTAAAACTCAATATAGAAGAAAGTTCTAGGTTTAAGTACAGTATATATCAAATTCATACGTTGAGCTACAGATTCCATTATTTTAAATATATCCTGTGGTGGATGATCAAACAAATTTTGATGGTGTCATACGAGACACGGTAGCTCTATTTGTGGACAGAACGTAACGTCGCGGTTCCGAGTTAGAATCCCGCCCATGTCATCGAACGATTAACTTTAAAACAACGTTAATTGCAAAAAAATCATTCTTGAAAATAAATATAGTATTAAACAAATTCGTCACAAGTATCAATAGGAAAAACAAGCAAATTCAATTTACTATATGTTGTCTGCTTAATCGTGTTCCTTCTTATTTAAAAAAAAATGTTTTAAATAAGCATAAATTTGCGTCTATGAAGTAATATAGCTTGTCTAACCATGTATAACATGAAATACATTGAATTAGATACCCAAGGCGCCACTAGATTGTTGGAATTCATCTCTTACGAACACAAGAACACGTGTACTAATAAAATTGTACTATCGATCCCTCGAGCTTGACACGTTATAATTAGAAATATTGTTGAGCCCTTTTTAATTATGATGGCATTTAGATAGTGAAGCGTTATGTAGAGCTACAAGTGATTATTAGTTATATTTATTGAGTTCAGGGTATAAATTTTGTATGAAACATTATATTTCTTTGTTATGCCTTACCTACCCACGAAAAAAAAACAATTTGTTTTCCTGTACTTCAGGTTGCCTGGAAGAGATCGCTGCTTAGCGATAAGGCTGCCTTTTATTTATAAGTTAGCACATAAGATTTTTCCTCATTTATGTGTATTTTCTGTGGTATGTTTTATAAATAATAAAGCAATAATAAATATATTTTTCTAATGTTTATAAAAATGAAAATACAATTTAAAAAATAACCTACTCTGTGTTCACAAATTCAGTTACTTTGTCCCGTCTATGACAACATGGTTGGGCCATAGGTTCCGAGTCTCACTTATGTCATTTTTTTTTTTCATTCTGTAATAAATGACTGCGTAAGTATCATTTTAATTATTTTATTACACTCTTACTGACAATTTGGGCCATTTTATCAATGGAATAGCGAAACGACTGGACGTTTTGTGTATACGAAATAGACAAATAATAAATACATAGAAAAATAACAGAAAAAATAGGAAACAAACGCTGTAGCCAAATGGTTAAACGTATTGCCTAGCATTGCGAGAGGCCCTGGGTTCGAATCCCAGGGAAACAAAAAATTGTTTCGGTCGGGCAGCGCACAGATGTCTGATCTGACTATTTGCCTGTTAAAGGACGGATCAGCGAAACGGACACAGAAATGTGTTCGCCCCCCCCCACGAGTGGGAAACCGGATTACACACTATGAAAAATCCTTCTGATGAAATCCTGTCTCCCCGTGTGGGGCTTAAGGCGAACACATTTTTCTTTTTGTTTCACTGAGCGGTTCTTTTACAGGCAAGTAGTTGATCCGATTACTATGTCCTGCCCGACCGAAACAATATTTACGGATTACTTTTTGATCGGACATTACGTATTCCAATAAACAGTTATGTTATATAGAATGAAAATGTTTATTTCAGTTCTGTTCATTTGAAGACTTCATGCAATTATTAGTTCTTGGTATGATATTTGGGTTTGATTATTTTAGAAGCGCGATTTATTAACTTCAAAGCTGTGGATTTATCAGGAAAACATATATCTTGTTGATATAAAATATAAACGGCGGTTTGAAGCTCTACTATTTAGCTTCTACACGAGTACTTTACAAATTTAAATTTACAGAATAATTAGTCACTTCGAGTATACGGTCTGTAGTCTACAGAAGTAGTATACCTACATTTAAATAAAATACTTCGACGGTTTTAAACGCGATATATATTAGTTGAGCTTATTTGAAAATGATTTCTATCTACGGGAAGGACACGTCCTCGTGGTTACGGCTGCTGCTATAAATAATTTTCAAATAAATTTCACTAATATTAACCGCGTTTTAAACCGTTAAAATGTTTTATTCGACTTCCAGTATTGTAAGAAACAACAAAGATTTAATTATCGACAAATGAACGTTTGAACGAACTTTTAAATAAAACACTTTAACGGTTTAAAACGCGATATATTAGTTAACTTATTTGAAAATGATTATTTAACATCGGCCTGACGTTTCGGATTTTTCGGAGTTTTATTTAAATTTGTACTACTCGCTTAAACTATAGACAGTGTTTGAACGAACTATAGCCAACACTAAATTAAGCTGTCTTCCTTGAAATAAAATTACCCTAAATAGCAAACACGTGTTCGACTGAAAAATCTCAGTCCCGAATAGAATATTTTCTATTTCAGAAAACTAATACCCGTAACAGGTGGGTTCCGGGCTAACGCCTCGCTAGCTTATTTTAGAAACACATTTATGAACTTACCGACGTAAAATAAATCATTCTTCCTGGAGATAAAACTAAGTAGCGGGACGTTTATGGTCTGATAAAGAGGAAGTTATTTTCATCAATGATTTGGTTTTGGATTTGAAGCGAAAGCCACATTTTAATAAAACACTTTTAACTGTTTAAAACGGGGAGTGTATTAGTTATTTTTTTACATACATTTTAAACAACCATGTGCCGTAGTTAAGTAAATTGTAAATGAGTTAACCAATATATTTGGTGTTTTAAACCGTTAAAGTGTGTTATATACACAGAAGTAACTAAATACCAAACGAGCATCGATGCTGCAATTTGAATGGTTTTAACAACTTCTGTTTAATCTTTGTTTTTTTTTATATTAAATAGGTATTTATCTAATTAACAATTTTTAAGATATCTAGAAAAAGACGTCTTTAAAAGCTTCAATTTCATCTACATATGTATATTTACTGATTGTTTATAATCTATCCACAAACCAATCTGGGATAATTACAATAAAATTTACTCTTAAACTTAAACATATATTAAAAGTCCATCCAACCAACGGTTGTTAATTATTTCAAAGTGTGATGAAACTATTCAGAAATTGTACCCCAACTATTATCATAGAATAATTTAAAATGTTAGAATAAATAATGAAATATTGTTTCCCTCAAATGACAAATGCCATCCACGCCCAATATTCGTTACTCATTCCTTTATTACGCCCTGCACTGAAACTTCGAAAAACTTACCTTGACAGTAAACGCATCCAAAAATAAATAAACACCAAAACACTAACACTTTATAGTACATGATCGAATTTAATTAGTATCGCATATGTATAGGATATTTGCACGTGGGCGAATCAACTGTAACTCGATAGGTTTCGCGATGAGTGATAACAGATAAGGGCTGATAAGATGATAAGGGGCGCGGGCGGCCCGCGGCCGCGCAAACTCCCAACCGTTCCCTCAACATCTGCAGCTATACTAATCTTTGGCTACCTTTGTGAGCTGTCTCTACCTATAAAGTTAGAGTCGACGCAACAAGTGGCTCGAAAGAAAACAAAAGTTGACGTCCATTGCGTTGTGTATACAGAAAAAGAGTGAGGTATATGTTCCATAAATATGCCGCAATTATAGAAACCGTGAGTACGGAGTAGAAATTTATTTGGGATTATGGGGGATACTTTTCTAGGTGAGAATACAAGTATGTAAGAGGAAATCTATTGGATTGAACTTTTTGAACATTTAGATTAATAATTTTAAGGCTTAGGCAATGGTTTGAAGAGTTTGGTAATGGTCTCTTGCTTGCCAGTTTTTAAAGCTTCTTCAATAACGACTAATACGAAGCAGTCGCATTAGCAATTTGCCTCTTAAAAATTTAACCTAATTCCATAGACTAGACTAGTAATAAGGTAATTAGACTTTTTGTTAGTTCATTTGTGGGCATTTACAAAGGATATTGTGTTGGATACCTATTGAAATACTTTTATTATTATGTATGTACTAATTAAACATTTTCGCCGCGAATATAGAAATTCGGAAAAAATGTTAATCCACGGATAGATAAAGCAAGCGCGGATAAGGAGCTTCAACTGTACTCTTTTAAGTTGTTTCATACTAAAACGGCAATGAAAAGCGATGTGTAATATTGAGTCGATTGTTATAGTCCGCTGAAATGATATGAATACAACAGCGTTACATTAGCAGACGACTGATAAGAGCGGGTTTTCAGTAATATGATAGTGTTTTCTTTTGTATAATAAATTTAATTAGTTCTCACGTGTTATACTAGCCTTCCTAAATCTATTTTAAAATAATTTAAATTTTATTATCTGTCCTATAGAGAATGTTTATATTTGCAAATTATAATTGGATTATTGAAGTCCAGAGTATAGATTATTGGAGTTTAGATATATGTTAATAGTTTATAAGACGATACGAAGTGACAATTATACATATATAATTCACAGTGCAGATTATGTTAGCCAGAATTGTGTCACACTTTCCTTATCACGATAAGACAAGAAGTATGCGGTAGTGGTAATTAGAGCAGATATAATATACACGTTAAATAAAACCAAAAAAGCCGCGTCACGTAAGTAACGTATGTGTTATGTAAGAGTGTCCCCGTGCCACGGCTTCTGCAAAGCATCCCAAACGTCGGGGCGTAGTCAAAATACATTTTCAAATAAGTTTAACTAACATATATCGCGTTTTAAACCGGTAAAGTGTTTTAATTAACTACATACGTTCCAACAAAAAGCCGTTACCCATATGTGCAGAAAAGCACACTGGAGAAATTGTATCTCACCGGGTTTCCGAGCCAGGTCCAAAACTATTTATTGTGTTTACTCGAGATTTGAACCCTCTCGAGCTTAACCCGTTTAATTATTTTACCACTAAACAACAGAGATGATTAGTATAAAAAATATAGTTATCTTAAAACCTGATATTAAAAAAATAAAAATTCCGACACAGTATTCTTTACAGTATTCAGTAGAGAAATCTTTGAAACAAATCAATTATAACAAAATAGCTACAAAAGCTAGCTAGCTACCATTCATCGTTCAATCTAGCTTGTAATCAAGTTCTATTTGGCATCATTACACATTGTAGGCGGCGAAACCTTGACAATAAGGTTTATAGTTAACGAACGTAGGCGTAAGACCATCGGCCACTTAAGAGGATGACGTCGTCTGTATCGCAATTTGGCTTTTAATAGCAATTCGAGGGTTTACAGTCTAAAGATCATGCCTACTCTTGATTTTATGATGGAGGAGGACAGATAAGGACTTCTTTGATGGTAGGTGAGGAACCCCCGCTATTAAACAGCTAACCTATATTCGGAAATCCACAGACTGCAACCAAAACGCGATTAAACTTCACGGCTTTTTATCTGTGGACGGTGGTCACGGAACATGTAGGACCCGGTGGGCATCGAATCTATCATTTTCATCTATTATTTAAATACAAATTAAGCTAATCATAATCTAATATTAAACCAACGAGCCCGTCACAACATTTTTTCTTTTACCAGCTCAATTGGCACACCTTTCAAATAGATTGATTATTTTCGATTTATCGATTGTAGTAGATAGCATATTTTTGAGAACTTTAATATATTTCACATTAATAAATAGATTAAAAACTTATTTAGATCGTGTATGAACCGCACTTGTTTATGTATTTATTATTTGTATCTTATATGCGTTAACTATCGTTTTCATTACATGAGGCATACCCATGCATATTCCTCTTAAAGTTGTTGCTATTAACCAATACAAATACTTACATTTATTCATTTAAAGTCTAATTTTAAGATTCAATAGTTTTTCATAGGTGTATGTGTGTAATATGTGATAAAAATGTCTTTTAAATCAAAATATTCAAAAGATGCCAATGCGATTATAGATATATTATTATATATATAAAAACATTTGACAAAAGCCGAGTTACGGCCCATTTTAATAAAGAGGTAATTTATGTTATCTTCATTTGAGACTACGAACTTATCAAGCAATTTCTTTAAGTGCCTCGTAAAGTGTTCTAAGCAACAGAACACTTCACACCCATAACCAGCCAACCTGTTCCATTACAGACTTTGTTTAGCATCAATAGCCCATGTAAACGAATTAACAACTTGTTGACGGCTTTTCTTCTAATGAATTTAATATGCACCTTACATATTTCCTGTCACGTCAAAACAGTAAAGTACCAAAGTTAAACGACCCACTTATGCGCCCTTCGAACCGTTACCTATTCATATTGTATCTTCTTAATTGGAAGAACCATAATGAAGAATGAATAAATTAAGTTTAATAATAGCTAATCACGTAGTCTACGCCTTTTAAGTTGTGGTAGATTGACGTGTAGATTTGGATATTGCATCATGCTCGTTCCATATGTGGACAAGTTTATTTTATTCAAACGAAGGTAATAATAGCGTATTGTTGCTTCTAGTTGGTCAAAGCTCAAAGCTCGGGACATGTTTTGTTATTGTGTTGACTAATAGAAAACATTGCTGCCACTAATTCCTTATATGATAGTAGCTGTGCCCGCGACTTCGTCCGCATGGAATAGTGACTTGGGGTAGAATTTGTAATTATTTAGGCTGTTTATTAATGTATGTAAGGGCGAATTTAAGGCAGCCAATCTTTGTTGTAAGTGCTACTTTACCGCAACACTCTCACCTCACATCACTCCAACTTTAATCCCCACTGTCATTCCTACACTCACTCTCACTCCCACTCCCACTCCTATTCCCATAAAGCCAAAGAAGAAAGGTTCATTGTTCTAGCTTAAGAAACCACGAATTTCCATACAAACATTTTTCAACCCCTATAAACCCTTTTTTGGCTTTAAAAATAGTCTATGTCCTTTTTCAGGGTCTAAAATATCTGTGTGTGATGGTTGTTGGTCTACAATAAAACAAAGCCAATATTAATATGGTGGATTTAAAACTTTTGCGATCTGCTCCCTTCATCCATATCTTTACTCTTGCGTTTCCTAGCCTTGCTCTCTTTAGTCTTTTCCAGCATATTATAATAATGGTTTATTGGCTGGAGCCATGCGTAGCCAAGTTCTGCCTTTCCGAGCCAAATATGGCAATTTGGATCGATGAGCCTGAGATTACCAACTGGCGAATTCTCAACAAAATCACAAACCAACATACTCTCGTCCGGGTATGTATATCTTGCAGATCCCGTGTAGCACCAGTCCTTTAGCATTCCTTCGTATTTGGCTCCGTCTGTAAAGGTTATTGACACTTCCTCGGTTGTTCCGAGACGATCGGCATCCCATGTACCCGTGTAGACATCGCCTTCTGCAGTGGTGTAAACTCCTGGTCCTAAAATAGTTTTAGATAATTTGGAATATATTTCGTTAATATTCAGAATAAGTCAAAATATTTACGCAGTTAAAACGCGATATAGGGGTCTCCCCGTGACCACGATGCTGCAAAGCATGCAAAACGTCTGGCCGTAGTTAAAAGAACTTTCGAAAAGTGTAATTAATTATCGTTTTAAATCGTTAAAGTATTTTTTTAATGTTTACTTCTCGCGTAAAATACAGACAGTATTTACATAGTTAGTTTGGCTTTTCTAAAAGCTATTTTTTATGGAGAGCAAGAATGGTTTATTTTTTTCGTCTCTATGATTGACACTAGACATTTACAAGCAGTTTATGTTTGTAAACACAATTCGTAACAAACGTTGTAACAGCGGGAGGTCATATTAACAAACGATAAATTCAATTTATCAAATATCCCTCATAACAAAACAAAACACCATTAGATTCAACGTTTGAGCAATTGGAGCGAGACACGGGTTATGGAGTGGAATGGAGTAATGTACACGGTTCATTAAATTTAACTTAACGAAAGACAAAAACATTCGGCAACGCTCCGATAGTTTTTATTAAAAGGTGAATGTACTTGAATACAGACCATTTTTAAGTTTCCGATAAGAACTTTAACTGTGCTGTATTATTATAAGTACATATTTGTAATTGAGGAAGAAGATTCGTCTGTTATATTGTCACATTTAGTTAGGTATTAAATTCTTTTATTTTTACACCGAAGTATCGTTGGCAAGTTAATGAGATCTAAAACATTATGTATCACAAAATATTTTTTGTTTAATGGGCTTTAATCTTTTTTTACTAGATTATGTGGTGATATCTTATCTACGACGTAAAAATTAACAAACATGGATATGTTAAGACTATCATTACACTAAAACTGTCCATTTACTTGTTATTATTACTATTTAAAGCTGTAAATAATCCTACGACAGATTTGATACAGTGCATACTTTCTAGGTCTTTAGATATTTTAATTGATTGTGAGCAGTCTGACCGTGCATTTTGACATTTCTATCTTTTTTCTTCGCTTCAAAGAAGCCCTCGTAAGTGTCTCCCGTATCGTGTGTAAAGAAACCCTGATCTTGTATGACGGGAATTTCTTTAAGTACCTTCTTTTCTTCTTCCTGTACAGAATCCGCCATGTTTCACAATTTTAAGCTTTCTCTCTTTAATAATAATCGCTTTAAAAATGACGAAGGATTTTCACGCAAAAGTCGCAAAATATATGACAATTGACAAGCCCTAAATGACGCGCCTATAACAGTATGGCACGCAACTTTTTAATTAATTTTATTTTCTGCGACCATGACCCGCACACTTCGCTTTAATTGCAATAAATCTTTAGCAAAAAGTATTATGGCTTTATATTGCATGAAATCGCAAAAATATACATATAACCACAGTTCAACACCGCATTTACACTTGCACTGCATTCAAAATGTATTGCCTATTTAAGTACTTACAATCCCTATGAAGTAATTTTTATAATTAAAAATAAGATTCTCAAATAGACTCCACGTCTACCTAATATGTAAAAGCTACAATTATATTATATTCTCCCAACACTAAAACCGTTAAACTCAAAATGTTTTCTTTTAAGTTTCTGCCTCATTAAAATTAAAACGTTTGCGTGTACGTAAATTAGGTTCAATAAATAAAGGTAGGAAGGGCAATAAAACAAAATTTTATTTATAAATAAAATATATTTCACTAACGTTCGTAAAATGGCCTCCCAGCATCAAAACGACAGCCTTGATGGTAACGAAAGATTTATTAGCCCCGAGCATAATATTTACACTGATCGTCAAGTTATCTATTGAATTCACATTATGTTCAAAAATCTACAAAAAGATCTATAATATCACTATCACTAAAAATGCATGTAACCGATTTCTATTAAATAAAAATAGATAAAAATTAAATAAAAATTGACCAAAATTAACGTTTTTCGCTTAAATCACTACAATTATTGATTAAACATTGTTTGAATAAATAAAAATAAAGAAATGAGGCAGTATATTCTCTATAACTTGATCTGGGTATATTTTCAAATGAATAAATATTATCTAAAAAAACTATTTTCTTCATGTGTTCAGATATTATACTTTTATAATACGGTACACGATAATCTCTTACATATTATTTTCCCTAAAAGTTTAACAAAAAATAATAAATATAAAACAATAGGGGGATAAAATCTCAACGCAATTTGCAAGGGCAATGGGCGTGCATGATCCAATACTGTAATAATCTAACAAACTGTATGCTTAATATAACCATTGGCAAATTGTTTTAAGATCCAGATAATGGAACTCGTCAAGGCAACATTTGTATGTGAACGATGTTTTTACAATCACATCGCAAAGGTAAGGTCGATCTAAGCACTCAAATAACATGTAAAATAAATTAAGGTCACCCATTTCTTATAAGTATCAAAGTGCAGTACTACACGTTGCGTCAAACCAGCCCCATTGATCCCGAGTGCACTTTCATTTTTTAAACGATTATCTGTGGTAAATGTTGATTGGCCAATTTAATTTTCGCGCCAAACCAGTGACACCTGTCATTAAACTGACCATAGAGAAAAAATCGTTCCCAAGCACGCTGTGTTCGAAGTTCAAAAATGTAAACAGATAACACTAATAATCGTCCAACCAATGAAGGTAATTTACACTAGACCCACAGGGCAGTGAATTCAGTTGCTTCACTTATAGAATCATGTTGGCCGGATCTTCGAGGTTCTCTTTGAGAGCCTTCATCCATTGCGCGCCAACCGCGCCGTCTATTACTCTGTGGTCGGCAGATGCGGTGAATGTTATGAACTTGGCTAAGCGGAAACTGAAAAAAAAGAAGGGCACCTAATGACTGACTGTACTAATCACACTATTTACTTTCAATAGTATTACTTGACCAATATATTAAATTATAATTATACATTAATTATAATAACTTTTTTTTAAACATGGTAAACATCAGATTAATAGTTATTTGGTCAAAATAATTTTTGAATGTGTGTGAGATAAACAAAACTAAATTAAATTTAAATGAATTTACCCTTGTGGTTCATTCTTGTCAGGTATAACAATCTCTTGAAGTCCTCCGCACGCTAGGATTAAGGATTGTGGTGGGTTGATGATCGCGTTGAACATGGTAATACCTGCAGATGTTCAATGTTCAATCTTCAAATTTTTAATATTTCTTGTAATTTAATATAATGTATAGCTTATTTACTAGTATATAGAGAAACCGTATCGCTAACAAGCGTTCGTCTAGGCATTCTTAAATAACCCAGGGCTCCCTTAAAGCAACGTAGAGGGCTGGTGGTGTGTTTAGCTACGTCATACTTGCCCGACGTGGGCGTGCATTAGGCATTCACACCCATTAAAGAAAAAGATAAAAGCTTAAATATAATAATAAATACCTATGCATTAAATAACATGATATTATTATTTTTTTCAATAAGGCCCTTGTTCAGCAATCTATTTGACTGTCATAAGTATAATGACGACGACTACTGTTAGAAACGATTTTTTTTTTAGTTATTTAACATGATTCAATATAAGTTATCGAGTTTCACGTACCATACATTCCTAAGTTGGAGACAGTGACGCTGCCGCCCTGATACTCCTGCGGTTGAAGTTTGTTGTCCTTCGCCTTTTGCGCTAATTCCTTCATATTCTTAGACAGATCGATGACACCGCGTGAGTCGGCGTTGAATAAGATGGGTGTGATCAGGCCGGAAGGTGTCGCCACTGCTACACTCACATCCACATTGTTAAATCTATAATAATATTGAAGTGGATGAGTATACTATACTTCGTCTAATCAAGGATGACTAGTTTGACAATTTATAATATGGTTAAGGTATGATATTGTTTTTAAATCTTTTAAATTAGATTTACACATAAAGTTCGCTTACAAGTTTTGCGACGAGGAGATCGAAAAACTCCTAAACATACATAACGGGGGAAGCAAACATTCCAAAAACTCCGCTGGGCTGGCCATTTGGAGAGAATGGGACATAATCGGAGTGTCAAGAAAGTGTATCGCTGGAACGACGACAAGAAGGACTTGCGTGAGCTCGGTGCGGCCGAATGGCGAACAGCCGCGCAAAAACAGCGGAAGTGGCGCTCTTTAGTTTCAAGGCCAAGACTCACTTTGGGTAAATAAATACACATAAAGTGTGAGATAAAAAATGTACGAATAAATCAAATGGATTTCTATATTCTTCATTGTATGCATCTCATTGCTGAATAAGTTGAGATTAAAATTATGACTTACTGTCTAATGAACGATTCCATCCAATGTGAGTTAACAGTGGGCACTCGCTTGCAGGCTGCAGCTACTGCCTTCACTATGAAGTCGTTTACAGATACCTACAAAAGGTCACAAAGACTTTTATCAAATATATATATTATATGTACAAATATATTTTTTTATTGCAAGTATACTAATTTATATATACAATTTTTAGTTTAGTTAGTGATTACCTTGATTGTGTCTTACTACTTCAGAGAGCTTAAAAATAGAGTGTGTTAAAGTTAAGAGTATCTCACTAAAAAGATAAATGTAAAAAAGGAGAGCCAACTTCAAAACAAAAATTATGCTTGGCTTCGCCGTAAAAAGAATGGAGATCTAAATGAGTACCAAGTTCTATGAAAAATTCTAATAATATATATAATAAGTATGTTCAAAATAATATTAACATCAAGTAATAAACTCAATTTCTTTGCTCTATTGGATATGTACAAGAATTGCTTTATTTAAAAAAATTGAGTTTTATGTTGCTTTGCCTTGACATTTTGTCCACAACAGTATGTATACCAGTGTATAGCATGACAGGAAAAGGAGCCAAGTAAGATAATTTTTATAGACTTTACCTTGACATCGGCCTTCTCCTTAGCAAGACGCTCATTGACTAGCTTGCGCATTTCCAGCGTCTTCTCAACATTAACAGTAGCAGACAGCTGGTAGTGTGGAATTGTTTGCTTGGCTGCCGACAGCCGCTTAGCAATTGTCTCCCTCATACCAGACAGAGGAATGTCCACGTAACTTGCACCAGGCGCCGGCGCGGGTACTGCCACAGGAGCGGGTGCAGCGGCTGCTCCTGCGAGGTCACCACTCTTCACTGAACCGTAGAGTCCAGACCCTTGGCCTGTGTGATGTTTTATGGATTTTCGGTAACCAGCATGTTACTAGTTGTATTTTTTTTTAAATCTTTAATTTTTAGGTTGAAAAGTATGGCCTGGACAAACTTGGATATTATAACATCCATAACAACTAAAGTTCACGTTTCTGTTATTTTAGTGATCCTATTTTTTTCTAAAATTGGTTGTCAGATGCATTAAATGTCTATATTCTTTTGCTTGAAATCTAAAATAAGTACATATTGCCCTATAATTATCCTAAAAGGATTCAACGGACTTGTCTGTCTCGTCCAAATATAGAAACCAACTTACCACCCAATCTGATATTCTTCAGCTCTGCTAGCCTTCTAGCCATAGGGCTAGCATAAATCCTACTATGCTGATCTGCAGTTGGTTGTGGTGCCGCTGCCGGCTTAGGCGCAGGTGGTGCCGCGGCTGGTGCAGCAGGGGCGGGAGCTGCAGGAGCGGCGGGGGCAGCGGGTGCGGGTGCTGCAGCCGCTAAAATAAATATTAACCATGTTAAAACAAGAAATATTGCAAATTTATGTGATAATATTTTTAATCATTTTATATAACTAAGTGTTATGTGACAAAGCATTATTCATACATTATGCTAAGCTTTTAATCACAACACAAATGTGAAATGCAAATGTTACTTTAATATAAATAGAAAATAATTTTTAAAAGTATTGATGATAAAAGAGGACAACCAGTTTGCAATACAAAGCAAAAAAAAATTAAAGAGTAAATATATGAAAATCATGCATAAATGATATTAACCTTTCTCTTTTGGTGGTGCAGGCTTCGATGGTTCCCCTGATGCTGTGGGGTTACCAGATGTTAGTGTTACATTAGCTTTTAACTAATAAAGATCTTCATACGGTGTAAGTACCTCATGCAAGTAAATTAGATGTCACCAAAATAAAAAAATTAAACGTTATATTTTTTGTTTTTATCACTTAACTCAACTGTTAATGCATGCATTGTTATAATAAGTTTTGGTTATATAACCTAATTGGTTTCAACACCAAGGACCAAATGATGAGATATATTGTTAAAGCAATGTTTTCCAAAATATTATGATTTTACATTAAAAAATGACACAAAAAGTGAGGGTGTGCCCATGCAATTTATATTTTGTCACAAAAAATAAAAGCCTTCGCCTGTCACATCACTACCTAATTGGTGGAAGATTTTCAATCTGGTCAATACACCAATACTTTATTAAAAAATATGTAATCTTACAATCATCCTTAAAGTCTTTGAACGCAGCAACATCTGCCTGGTTTTCAACAATAATGCACAAGAGTTTTCCAACAGGAACTCCCTTGGTACCGGCAGCAATGAGAATTTTAGCTAAAAATCCTTCTTCAGGGGTTTCAAAACCCATGGTCGCCTTGTCAGTCTCAATTTCACAGAGGAGGTCACCTAAAAATCACACAAGATTTCTCTTAAATGAAACTAAATTTTAAAGATAGTATATAAGTTATGATTTGCTATTTCAAATGTTTAATTTTTCGTTCTGATATAATTTTTTTATATACTAACTAGTGAACAGAACTAAGCTGTAAACTTTTTTGTTTTCTTGTACCTAATAATTAAACTGCGTCCTTTACTACTTTAAGTTTGACAATAATATTTTTTTTTCTAATATTAAATAATTATAAGTTAGGCAATCACACAACCTTATAAATTTTCAATCAATGTCATGTTTGTCATGAAAATTAAATATTTTAGACATATAAACCAAAATGCTTCTTTATACATTTGATTCTTCTTCAACAAATTGTTAATCTTAAAGCAATTTATAAATTAGCATAGTAATTATGAGATAGCACAAAAATTGAGAGATATGCTGACCTTCATTAAGTTTGTCACCCTCTTTTTTTTCCCAGCTGACAATGGATCCATTTTCCATAGTCGGTGAAAGAGCTGGTAGGTTCACTTTGTTGTGCGGAGGAAGATCTGAGTAATGTCTGACCTGGATATTCCATTGTCTCGCAGTTAACTGCTTTTGTGTTGGAGTAAGTAGTCTGGAAAATAATATCTTACACAATTCACAAACTCAAGTCAAATACTGCAAAGTAGATTACATTGGAGACTTAGACAACTAATAATGAACTATTATAATATAAGAAAAAGCGATTTTCGCAAATTAACCGGTGCACGCACATGTTTCAATGTCACTCTTTGAAAAAGGCTGTTTGACACTACGATTATGCAATTCCCGTAAGCTTAAATTAGCAAAACTACTAAATAAGAAGAACCGCTTTAGCTATAAAGCTTTGCCCTTATTCTTTAATTACAAAGCCAAACATTTATAAGTTAAATAAAACCGCAAATTTGAAGAATCTTACTTGTTCGTCTGTTTCCTCCTGGCCAACTCTGTACTTAAACATCTAGTGACATTACACCGAACGGCTTTTTTAACTGTTTCAGCTAACACTTGATTTCGTACAAGGATCGTTCGCAACATGTTTGTTTTTATATTATGTTATTCCTTTTCCGTCCAGTTAATCGGGACGGTTTTTAAAAGCCAAGATCGACCTTTACCAAGTTGTAGGTCGAAGAAATGGTTCAACTTTAACAGCTGGATTTGATTATGATGTCAATGTCAAATAACTTTTAAACATAGATTATGCAGATTTAATAGAGAATGATCGGGGATGTTATTATAGCAATAACTTATATTATTTATACTAATATATCTGAAATCTTGAAAAAAAAACCTTCCAGCAAATATACTAATAGATTTATTAATTGGAACTAAATGACATTCGTGAGCAGTCACTCCATAGTTCCATAGAAGTTATTTTTGAATACGTAAGTTCTGTGTCATTGTCAGATGTCAGTCTCTTTTCTGTCAACAGTGTTGTTAGGCAGGTTTCTCTAAAAATGGTGAGAAACTAATTTTAAAATATTTCAGCAATCAATTGTGATAAATTATGCTATAATTAAAATAAAGAGTGCTTATTATAAATACTTTCGTCGCATCTCAAGATTTGACGCCGTGAGTGTTTATTATACGTTGAAATGACAACTCAAGGTATTGTTGATGTTTCCAGGCTAAACGCACGAAGAAGGTTGGAATTACTGGTAAATATGGTACCCGTTATGGTGCCTCCCTTCGTAAAATGGTCAAAAAGATGGAAGTGACCCAACACGCCAAATATACATGCTCCTTCTGTGGAAAAGTAAGTTCGACAATAGTTGACTAAGTTCTTCCTGTTGAACAATAATTTTTATGCTTGCTTGATACGACTGTGAACTATTATAATGTAGTTATAGTAATATATAAAAAAATATTCTATTAATTGTCCATTCTTGCCTTTGAAAGTTGCCATAGGTGCCATTTCTTTTTATAGGTTATATTCTGTTAAAAATCACAGTTCAAAAACTCAAGAATTACAATCTACATATAACCACATGCTGATTTTATGTAGATTCTATTCTGTAAATTACTAACAATAATATTGCACTGACCTTTGAAAACTTTATTTTTTTTTTACATGTTATTGCACATGAAGGCACTATATAATTTAAAAATCGAAAATAAATAGAAAAAAAAATTCGATATTTAAAACTGACCTCTTTTTTTATTAATAAGAGTAATTTTGGTACCAATTTTGTAGATATCTGGTTTAGGAATTCTATGTCAAGTTTCTATTCTGTTTGTAACATTAACTCTATGTATTACATTTTAGGACGCCATGAAACGTAGCTGTGTTGGTATCTGGTCATGCAAGCGATGCAAAAGGACTGTAGCTGGAGGTGCTTGGGTATTCTCAACAACTGCTGCTTCTTCCTGTCGCTCAGCTGTCAGAAGGTTACGTGAAGTCAAGTAAATTTAGAATAAGGCAATAAACTAATTTCAAAAAAAACTTGGGTTTTATTCAAATTTTTATTAAAAATATGTATTAAATTTTATTGAGTATAGTATGGTATCCAGTTGTGGGGAGGGCCCCCGAACATTAATATTATATAACACCCACAAAAAAAAATTTTTTTTGCCCGGGCCCCGGGGCCGGGGGGTTGGGTTTTTTTTTCGTCGCCCCCCCCCCCCCCCCCGGGGGGGGGGGGGGGGGGGGGGGGGGGCCGGGGCGGGGGCCCCCCCCGGGAGGAAAAACCCCCCCCCCCCCCCCCCCCCCCCCCCCCCCCCCCCCCAAAAAAAAAAAACCCCCCCCCCCCCCCCCCCCCCCCCCCCCCCCCCCCCCCAACCCCTTTTTTTTTTTTTTTTTTTTTTTATATAGTTCACTTTTCATATTCAAGTTGCCAGTAATATTATTATACACTCAAAATACAGGTATGTTTATAAATTCATGCCTGTTTTTTCTATTTACTTAAGGACACAAAAATATTTACTTGAGTAGTTCTTACAAGAAATATCAAAAGTGTAAAATTTTTGTCCGATTGAAAATAAAAGTCATAAAATTAAAATATTTTTTATACTTTTTATAAAAATATGATATGCAATATACATACAATAGCACCATGTTAAAGTACTTTAATGTTGAAAAACAATTGTACATATCTCTTCAATAAACAATTGCAAGTGTCAAACAAAATATAATATTAGAATACAATAAATAGATTTAATACAAAATTTTTACTTAGTCTCGAGTTCAAAAATACACCTAAAATTTATGTACGGACAGCCTTTTTCTTAAATTTATATAAATACTTAAGCAAATTAAGTAACAGTTGTAATTATGCTCATTATACATATATCAGTCACCCAAATCACTATCCTGGTCTCCTATGGCAAATAATATGTAAAATGCTACTCCAAGTAAGGCTGTGCCCAGTAAATCACCAAGGGCAGTTAAATATGGGATTGCAGAGTTATCTGGGTCTAACCCTAACTTCCACATCCAAACAACTAAATAATGGCTTATTATTAACAAAAGAAATACTTGTAAAAGAGCTGCACACATATAAATTAAGATAAATATAGGTGTCACAGAAGTGTGACCAGCTTTGAGATAAGCTATTGTATAAACAAATATGAGCTGGCCAGGCACAACCATCAACATGAGTAACTTTGTTGTATTGCTTATGACATATTTCTCTTTCTGTCCTGTATGTAACAAAGTAGATAATCTAGAGGCATGCACAGCAGCCATATTACCACCTATACCATTTATAACAAGCTGAAACACTGCAACACCTTCATAACTAGACACAGTGTATCCTAATATTAAACCTCCAGTGCTGCTTATAACCATCCCAGAGACAACAGGCACCCAACCTTCATCTAATGCCTGTGTTGTAAATTTATTTTGAGAAGCAATGTAGCCACAAACAGGAACCAGAATTGCCCCAATAATGATAATTATAGATGGCAATAACAAACTTGTGCCAAGTGATCTATATAACATTGACGAAATCCAAGATAATAATGCCAAGGTTGTTAAATCACCCAAACTGGCGGCTATAGGTGTTGCTACATTATCTGGGTTTATATTCATCTTTTTGGATATGACAATAACACCAATCATTATAAGTCCCAGCACAAAACTTGCAAATGATGCTGTAAGGACACTTGAGGCACAGAGAAGCATAGCCTGATGAATATCAAATAAACCTTGTGGTATCCAGCCCATTGCCACTGCAGCCATAGCAGCAAGAAATCCAACAAGAACTGCTTGACACTGAATTAGACATAGGTTTCCTACAATCAGTTGATTTAAACAGGCATCTAAGTGGCCCATGTTAGCGTGCGTCGACATTCGCGATGCTAGAGTCATTTCCAAATTCCCTTTAAGACCAAGCAAGGCCGGCACAAGGATGTACACCCCTGGTATCTTCTGAAATACATCCCAGTGTTGCACTACATCTAGAAGCAGACTAGCCGCCACCATTCCAAATCCAGCAAGTAAAAACGACACAAACATTTGCACAGCCGCGATCCACGAATTTTCTTTATCATATTTAATATCAGGTGGTTTTTCCTCGTTCGCAATAAGTCTATACACGTTAGCACTCATATCAGTTTCGTTAATACACTCAGAATTCTGGATCATTTTCGAATTATTACCCTTAGTTCTATTCATTTTTAATTGGCAACTCGATTATTAGTCTTTAATTAATTGACCACGTAGTCACAGTAACGCACAAATTATATTGATCATTAAGAGAACCTGATGTAACCGCAACAAGTCTCGCAAAGAAGCAACTTAGAACAAAAGTACTCATTGATAACAAGTTATAATTTTAAATTTGATTCTATAAAATATTGTGTTACAATTAAGAAAAGTTTTGTAAAAACACTTTAAATAATGTCCTCTTATTTTTAGTACGCGTACTTGCCAAGTTTTTGATTTGTTTAATGGACTCATTATTTCTCTCTGTCATTGGTTATTTTTTTATAAAGGTATACTGTCAAAATAAACAAGACTACGGTATTGAAACACAGATGGCATTGAATATGACTAAATACAATCAATTAAATAAATAGTTATATGTCTTACAATAGAATTTTTTATTAACGAAACAGTTTTATATTATAATATGAGCGACAATATTGTTTTAATTAAAGGATAAAATTACTTGAGCTAGTTTATTAGTTTTTAAAAATTATACTTGTAATAAAAATATTTCTAAATGTGACCTTTTTCAAGAAATGTTGATCCAAATCCTTAACAAAATAAATTGTACATTTTTATAATTTTCTATATCAGAACTGTTGTAATATTTTAATTTATGTCGTATATAATAAAGTATTCAAATATGCTAGTATATAGTAGTATACAATCGTTCTTTACAAGAAGCATAATCTTTATAGTTAAGGACCATAGATTGTGTATACGTAAGCATAAAGTGTCAGAGTGTGACTCAGTGTCAACATGGCCAATACGATACTTGTCAATTACTTCCGGTGATATTATTTCCTAAAAAAAGATATGAAAATGGAAGATATTTTAATAAAAGGGAAAAATAAATCAAATTAAAAATATATTTATCGTTTCTTTATAACAAAAAACGTCACATTATACTAGTTATTTTCTGTAACATAAAAAGCAAGTTACAACAAGGGTGGAAAGTGGCAATAGAGTTGTCAAAAGTTGGTAACACTTTGTGTCAAATGGTTATGGTGGCTGTTTGTGAGCCGCTTTCTGTGATAAATATTATTTTAATTATTTTTTGCAGTTTAAATAAGATATACTGTGTTGTGCACTAAGTAAATTAAAAGTGAGATTTAATTGTTTATATATGATGATTTAAATCAGTGTGTAAAGTGGGGAACTATTGTAACTTACATTATTTAGAAATAGATCCGGAAACCTACTTTAAAAGATCATTGTCAAAACTTCGTAAATAAGTTCGATACAGTTGTGACTTTTTAAATTAAAATTTATAGCTAAGACATAAACTAATTGTTCAGAAATTTAATAGTCAAAATTTTAATATCATTGTTTCAGAAGGGTCCAGTTACGGATGACAATCGCATGTTAAAATTGACATGTGGCACTGAAATAAAACTTGAATTTATTCTTACTTTATTAAAATGTTTAGAAGTAAAATTAGGATACACACATGTCGAATAATACTTCTCACATCATTAGTGTGGTTGTTGGTGGATGTTGCTATATTGACGTTTTATTCAGATTGTTTTGGTGATGGGTGCAATAAGAAAACAACAAGTGACTATGGGATAAGGGTGAGTCAAGTACTGAACAAAATAATGTTTTATTGTTATTTATAAAAAAACTTGTTTACCCACATACATGTTATTTAAAACTTAAAGCCCTTTTTTATTTACTTATTATTATCCTTCGTATTTAAACAAATTTAAAATTTAGGACTACGCATTATCTTTATTTATAATGAATGTGGTCAATTTATAACCATATAAATTTTTTATGTATTTATAACAATTAACATATATTGCAAAATTTGTCAAGTTCATACTCTACTTCATACTACAAACAGGTATTCTCTTTTGAATCTCTTGGAATTATGTTTCTTTTTTATTTCTCTTAGGTATTTATTGCTTTACAATATTTTGCAAATGTTTTTCACTGACTTAAAACTTTTGTTTGTTCATTTGAAACTTTAATTATTGGAATTTTGCAAGTTTATTTTGTTAAAAATGATCCCTTGATTGGATTAGCTAGGTTGAATCTGTAGCTAATTTGAATAAGATGTAATAACTTGTAGTATGCCTAAACTGCCAACATTGTTTTCAACTTCAACATTATTACAGACAAGAAAAACTAATCTTATATCCTTTGTTTGGCTTATATATACTTGTTGAAACTCAATCAATGTGTTTAACATAGTTAATGCCTAATTAAAATTAATAGGAAATAAAATTTATGTACAAGCTATTGAATGTGCCTTTTGTAGGATGTAGAAGAATTAAATGGTAAAAAGGCAGCAATAGCGGCAGGTTTGCAAAGAGATGCTGATCTAGACACAAACCTTGAGGAAAATGAGATAGAGCCAGACATTGGAGATGATGGCCTAAACCTTGCTCCATATCCACGGTCCAGGCTTAAAAGATGGAAACCTAGTCCTTCTGTTAAACCTAAAAATGACTCCCCAGGAGAAATGGGTAAGAGCAACTATGATGGTAGTGTTACCAATATAAAACTGTGCATTTATTTAGCAATATATCATTAGTTATCATCAATCAGTCTGGCAATGAATATAATTTATTTGTATATTATCAGAGGAATTATTTGTATGTTTTAATTATGCCACTATTTGTTTACAGTTTGCAGATAAAGAGATCATGTAACATTACTTTTGTTTCTAGGAAAAGCAGTAAACATTCCGGCAGACCAGGAAAAGATAATGATGGATAAGTTTCAGGAAAATCAATTCAATTTAATGGCTAGTGATATGATTTCATATAATAGATCTCTGACTGATGTTAGGTTTGAGAAGTGAGTATGAAACATATTTATATTTTATTACATGGTATTTCATTAATAAGACTTATATTGAGGAGCTCAAATTGTAATGTAGGTTGTGGTGGTTCAAGTCGCGTGTATGTCATATATTTTTCAAATATAAACCAATTACTATTTGTTTTAAACTTGGTTGCCAGTGGGTTGATAATATTTAATAATTCAATTTGCAGTTTAGTCTAGTAAATTTGTATTTGCAAGGACAAAACTTCAATTAGTTCCGTCATTGAACAAGTGAATGTTTTCTTTTTCTTAAAAATCAAGGTGTAAAGATAAGCCGTATCCACAATTGTTACCTACAACAAGTGTAGTAATCGTTTTTCATAATGAAGCGTGGTCCACACTGATAAGAACTATATGGAGTACAATTAACCGATCGCCTAGACCTCTACTGAAGGAGATTATTTTGGTTGATGATGCAAGTGAAAAGGGTATGATTTTTATATTTATTTGAACTACGTCATTTATGGTAACTTGAAATGTCCAAATAAACATATGGTCCACAGGAAATAAATTTGCTCATGTAAATTACAGTTTGGTGCACATTTAAATTAAACACTGTTAACAGTTTAAAACGCGTTATATTGTGAATCATTAAAGAGTTTCATTTAAATATTAACACTCATATATTAATTTATTTATATGTAAATCGTAACTATTAAATTATGCAACCTTACTTAAGAAATTATAATTTTATAGCAGAAACTTGTTTGTTAATAGAATGTTGCAAAAGCTTTTAAATTCCAATTCCAAATTCAAAAGGAGTAGATATTTTTGTCTATTTGTTATATTATTTGTTTTCAATTAGACTACAATGATTTTGTTGAAAATTTTATTATCACAAAAACCTCAGATCGATTAGTAATTCCGATAACGCCAGACAGCGTGGCACGGTAACTCAAATTTAACTACATCCGGATGACAAGTTGACTATCGCCGGTTCTAGACCTTACTGTGTTTTTTCTTTATAAATTTTTATATTGAATTATGACTATTTATGTTACCAGCTAAACATGTATTTATTATACATTATTTATTAAGATTTCCACCCACACAGAACATTTAGGGAAGAAACTGGAAGAATATATCAAAACCCTGCCGGTGCCAACGCATCTATTTCGTACTGAAAACCGTTCGGGTCTGATTCGCGCGCGGCTGCTCGGCGCTAAACACGTGAAAGGTGACGTCATCACCTTCTTGGACGCTCACTGCGAATGCACAGGTGAGTGTCGATGGGGAAACACTTTCTGGTGACTGTCCTATTCGGGAAATTATTTTACAGGCTAAAATAAAAAAAATTACTAATTTAACGTATTATTAAATGAATATATATGTATCCATAATATGTATTATGGTACTACTAGCTGTGTCCGCGACTTCGTTTGCGTAGAATAGTTTTTTTGGGCATCAAAGTTTGTTATTTCATACCTCTTGTTCAACTATAAAGCTGGACAAGGACGTTCTTCGCGTTTCGTCGTTCTTGCGAGTTCATCTTAGAAGATAGACATACCTAGTGTCGGGGATATTTTTCTAGATCACTTAAAGAGGAATCATTCTTTCCTACATATTTATTGGGTATCTGGAACCCTTTTTTGCAGAGTACGCAAGGAAAACAAACACACACACAGAAGAATAATCTCCCCCCTTTTTTTTTCACATCTACCGATGTATCTTCGCTGCCATTAGTCACAGTGTTTTATAACATCGATAAACGCTCAATCATCACAAAAATAATTTTTCAATTCGAACCAGTAGTTCCTAAGATTAACGCGTGCTAACAAACAAACAAATTCTTCGGCTTTATATATTAGTATAGATTCCGTACAGTGTAACATAACTAATTCTCGTTACAATATCATAAAATACAATATTCCACAGATAAACTTATATTTGCACACTATTTATGAAGTCAATTAAGTATTTAAGTAATCAAAGCGCTCCAGTTGTTCGCCAGTAGAGCGCAATATTCTTAAGTTCAAACTTTGGCACGACCGATTTCGTAGAGCGATAGTAATTAACATAAAAACTTTTCCAATTAAAAGTACTCGGCGGTAAAAATATTCATAAGTTGTGAATTGAGCACACTGCAGACATCTCAACTCAAGCGCGGTACGTGGCGCTTTATCGAGTACTGTTATGTAGCGCAATTAGCGACTCGTATTGGGAAAGTGTACTTTTAAACACCAACGTCGGTGGACTTATAAGTTATTTTTGAACGATACATGTTTGTATATACGATAATCATTTATGAGGACAACAAAATATGATAAAAAGCCTTTCCCAGGTGGGCCATGGGAGACATTATGGTGTCTAAAAAGTTAGGTCCTGTTTCACCGAGAAGTAAATAATAAATTTATTAATATTTATTGTCAAGTCAAAATCTTCAGTTTAACTTAAATTAAGGATGAGTAAACTTAAGTTTTAATGAAATCTATGTCATCTTCTTAATGAAATCTGATCGTAGAGGTGAGCAAGGGTCATCCAGCCATTTGCATCCATTCCGGCCGTGACAATTTAACAAGTAAACGCTATGCGAGACAAAGAATATTAAATATTTGGATTTAAAAGTATCCGTTTTATATAAAATAAGTTTCCTAAATACCACTTTGAATTCTTAAAAGTTTAATGCATGTGGTATCTACCGCACGTAGATAGAATCAAGTTCGATTTAACGACGTGTCCGGGAAGAAAACAATTGACGAACGCGTTATCCGATGAAAACAAAATATCTGAACCATTCGTTGTTCGTGTGAGGATTCTATTTGAAATCCGGTCAGCTGTTAGAATTTGATTGTCTGTCACTTCTCTATTCGTCTCATGCTGTATACTCATTTTGAGTACGCTTAAGTTGATATACAAACTGACATTATTTGTACTGGAATGTTAACTTTCATATGTAGTTGATAAAGTATTAGATTTTAACGCATTTTTTTTAAATAGATACATTACTTTAAATCTTTAAAATTTGGAACCTACTTAATTATTTGTATAGATAGGAAGATTCATAGTCGTATGTCCATATTTGTGCTAATAAATTGTGTAAGGCTTTCACGGCAATGTTCAGCATATCATTGTTTTTCGGGCTGTTCGGCGTTCGACGTGAGCGAGAAAAGGCTCTCGACGTTTCGCCATCACGAGCGGAACGGCACCATCAGGAGATGTTAGCACCTCGATTGTTCGCAGAATTCCTCTCGAGAACCTCTTCTTACTCGACCGAACAGCCCGAAAAACAATTATATGCTATATTTGTGCTTAGGTTAGTAATACTCAATCTCGCATTAGTTTTAGTTATGTAAGAACTTAATGTAATGTTGTACGAATGTAATATTTAAATGTACAAAATGTAGTAAAACCTGCGTACGAGATTAAATTCTCTTTGTGGTCCTAGTTATAAAAGTCACCGACGACAGCGCGTCGCTCTTTTTAGTGCCATAAACGCAAAAGCGTGATCAAGGTAATTGATGGTACTGAACAATAAGTTCCTTATCAAATAATAGCCACACGCCATCATGCTACGGTTTTTCGTATATGAAAATCTATATATTAGATTAGGTAACTGACATGTTAGGAAACATAATAATAATAAGGATAAAATAACCAGACACCAGGCTCCATAACAGTAGTCATTCTTTTGAAGGTAATTCCATACGATATTTTATTAGTGAAGTGTTACCGTCAATAAATTAGTTTAAATCGTAAAACAAAACTGTGAAAGGGTTATTATATTAACAATATTTAAACGAAAAAAATGCTTTAGGCTTTAGAGGAACCCGCTCTATCATCAATCCGCAAGAAAAAATATGTAGTGCACTAAGTACGTGAAAACTAAAAAAATAATTTTTTTACTTGATTCACGGCGTGGCGGCGAGTTTCTTGCCAGTTCTTCTCGTTCGTTCTAGATTTGAGAACTGGTAGCCAATGTAAATTTAAAGCCTTTATTTTTAACTGGTGTGCCGTTCATAAGCGTATTCGTATCTACTTACCTGCGTAATAAAGCATTTTTGACGTTGACTTTAAATAAAAAAAGATATCTGTACGTTTTATATCAGCGCTAGACATTATTTTTAGACTATGTGCAATAGTTTCCTCCGTGATCTAGGTATAAAAGAGTTTATGAGATATTCGACCGCTATAGCGGTTCATGCAAAGTCAAGGGGAGCCGAAAATAAAAATGTTTAGTAGTGACGATTGTAATGAAATATGAATTTTTATTTTTAATTGTACATTTGTTCTTGTTAAAATTTAAAATCGCTATTAGATTAAATAGATTGTATTTGTACGAAACAGACGCAAATACGAAATTTTATATGGAAAGCCCAATTTTGAATGAAAGGAATATTGTTCTTAATCCCAGGCTCAATATGATTTTTTGCTGGTTCTTCGTTCGTTTTTTTTGGTATCAAATAAAAGTTGTCATTATACAATTAAAAATGTCTATATTAGAGTCTCATTATTTATATGTATGCGCTTGCGCAGCTATGAGGAAGAGCTGCTATATGGGCATAACTATATTATGATTTATTGTAGCATTTCTGGTTGTCGACAGAGGGCTGGCTAGAGCCACTTCTCGCGAGGATAGTGGAAGACAGGACGACAGTCGTGTGCCCGATCATCGATGTCATCTCCGACACGACGTTCGAGTACATCCAGGCGTCCGACATGACGTGGGGCGGGTTTAATTGGAAGCTCAACTTCAGATGGTGAGTGCAATTGACATTTCTGGAAGTAATTAATGAACTCGCAGTGTCCGCTCCTTAATTAAACGGATTTATTTTGTTGCGAACTGTGGAAAATTAAGGCGGTTTTTTGCTACGGTTGTTTAATGTATTTTTTTGTTTTGATATAGTTTCGACATCAATTTCAAATAACTTGTAAACAACTGATATAAAAATATGAAGGTTTTGTCCATTCTGAAAGGTTTTTTAAAGCGGGTGAGAGCATTTTCATTTTATATAACACCGAGCCACGGGAATTCAGGGAAGGTCGAGCTCTAGAAGCTAGACAATGCGAAACAATTTTATTCAAAGAAATGAACAATTTTTATAAGAGCGCTCGGCCATAATTGCAACTATGGCATCTCAGGGGAGTTGGTATAAACTCGAAACTTCCTTTTATAAAATGCTTAACTGAAAAGGACGTTTGAAAATTCTAAGAGTAATACATTATTCAATGAACAAAGATTTATTTTTACACACTGAACGACTAGCAATGTTACGATATTGTTATAGTTTTAAACGATTACGTAATTTATAACAACTTGTGTAGTTATTTTTAAATGCCAGAATATAAGGAAATCCTAAAAGAATATTTTACTAATAGATAGTTTTTACCGAAAAATGTACTAGATTTGCCAAACTCTAAGAAACGTTTTTTATAGAAATGAGGACAAATAATTGATAAGATATATCTTTTCTGGTACCTAAGAAAATAACCTTACGTCTAGCAAATTGGCAAATTTCTGTAGTACTTGCATGTGCGACCCTTTCTTTTTTATTTTCAAAGAGAAGCTTATATTGAACGTTACCACCTTATTTAGGAAAATAAACATCTCCCACAACTGTAACACAATTTCATAGAAGTTGAAAAAGTATAAACTGACCGCTCAGGTTAGTCCTAAAAATTTGTGGATTTTTGCTATCAAATCCGAGAACATATTAGTAACAACATAGGATATTAGGAATCATGGGATTCGCGTTTTCTGCTCTCCGTAAAAAAAGTTCCATCTCATGGCACTGTAGAAGTTCACATCTCAAGGTTAGGGCGATCGTAACTCGAGATTGTTTTGGTTGCATAACCCCCGTCTCCCATTGTTCACGCCACCGACCGCGACGGTAATAGCAAATGTTCCAACACTAGCTATATATAGAAAGAAGGGTCTTTAATTAGATTTATTTAACTGATTCATAGTTCAGGATCAAATGACTAAGTATAACGTATTATGGAATAGATAGAACCATTGCGCGAGAGGTGCAAGGATAAAGGAAAAAAAAAATCGACGATGACGTGTAGGACACGATAGTTCAATTAGTTAGAGAAACAGCACGGAACTCTGTGGATGCTGGTTCAAGTACTGTCCGTGTCGTATTTTTTTTAAATCTAATTCGATTTTTAATTTAAACAGAAGTTTTTTATTACGTTAGTCTAGTGAGCAGACAACAGTACATTGTCTGTTCCGTTAACTTCAAATTCAATCGATTTAGTTAAATTTTGATTTTGATGCGTTAAGGTATTTTGATTTGGAACCATACAATTTCCATATATACGTCTGCAATAATTCTGTCCCACGTAACTTTCTGATTTGCAAAGCAGTAGATAGATAGCCCATTCGATACAATACACGAAGTGATGTTTCATTGCTTCATCTTCACTTGTTATTGCAAATGATGATTGTGACATGTTCTTGTTAAATTGTATTCAAAAGGTGTAGACCATCTTCATATATGGTTGGGCTATCTAGAAATCTCGATTGTCTATGTTCGTGGCTCAGTCGTAAACGAAATGGGTTTAAGCGCGAAAAGTTCTCTCTTGGAATCCCATTAAATTAAGATTAGAAGTGCACAAAATTCACAAAATGAATTCCCCTTTTCTTTGTGGGACATGAGACATATGCGAGTTTTTGTCCATTGGTGTTAGGTATTGTCTGTAGTTTACGCCAGTAGTAGACACTAAATTAAATATTTTTTATTTAAGGATTCTAAATTCGATAGTTAACTAATTTTTAATTTAACCGTGACTACGGCTATTACAAAGCATTACGAACTGCTATTACGAAACATCTAGCCGTAGTACATGTGTACGTTCCGAGTTTTAACTCGTTAAAAGTGTTTTATTGAAATGGGTAATTTGAAAATGACCGGCCGTGTTGTCACTTTAAGTTTACCTGGATTTAACCCTTTGCCACTTTATCATTAAAGTGCGTATTTAAAGCAAAACAGACAAACGTGTATTCCTCCCGCTTGTTATAAGGATAAGCCTAAAATGTCTATAGGTAATATAGTGTCCATATCGTAACGTAAATCAATTAATCACCAAGCCATAGGACTCATAATCTAATTAAATCCCATACCCTCCCGTTAATGCGTTCGTTCAAAGCTGACATGTCTATTTACACTAGTGTACTTAATACGCTTAGAGCTGGAGTTAATCCATTAGAGATCTCTCACTTCCGCGCAAATAAACTCAAGTATGTATACAGTGCGGAGTAAATACTACCGCGAATTAAATACAAATATTTAGAGACAAACCGAATCCGAACTTTAGCTAAATTCGGTTTATGAATGTGTTAGTAGCTGATCCGGAAACGTTGTTATGTTGTTTGCAAGCTTAATATTATGTAGATACACCTCTAAAATAAAATTGGTATTAATGCAGTAATTTCGACCAAATTTGATCATCATAAAAACTGATCTAACGAATCATGCTTTTTTTTGTAGAGAACTTATTTTTTTTAATATATCACGTTTTAAACCGTTAAAAGTGTTTTATGAGTTAAACGTGTACTACTCGCCCAAACTATAGACTTTTATTTATCTATTTAACTTATTTTTTTTCCTCAAAGATGAATAATATTCCCTGTTTTTTCCTTAGTTTCCACACATTCTTCACTCCTATAGGTCGTAGCAATGTTATATAGCCTTCCTCGACAAATGGTCTATCTAACACAAACATATTTTTTCAATTCGAACCAGTGAAATCATTTTCATCAAATTCGTGCCCGGTTACGATGCCTTTTGCTTTATGTTTAAATTAAATGAGTAGCCGTCTCTCCACGACACCTACGACCAAATCTTTTTCGACTCAGGAACCTTTTCACTTGTACCAAAAGGAGATTAAAAAACAAAAGATTTTAACATATACCAATTACATGTTTCGAGCGCTATCGCGCTCGCCCAACCCGCCCGGTTAGTATTCGTGGCTCCTTAGGAACACAATACGTAAGAGTCCAATCAAAAAAAAAAAAAATTAGGAAGCGCGCTAAACTATAATTATTATATGTCTTTGAATTTGACATAGCTATGTAATAGTTAAGTTCATTTGAAAAAAATCATACACCGACCTTTGGCATTATAAAACCAGATTTCGGCAAATTATAGAATTTTGGATCATGTTGATTTAGTTTAACCGAATGTGAATCGAAATTCGGTCAGTTTCTGCAATATCCTTGGTTCTGAAATGTTAATTTGTATATCACTTTTTTGCTGAAAGTCTTCCTCTAAATTGTATTATGGTTTTATAAGACTAATTTGTTATATGTGGATAAAATGTTTAGTAATGAGTTGAAGATGCCAGTACTATTAGGTCCATTGATACTAAACAATTACGAGAAGAGATGATTTCTACTTTGTCAACCGATAACCTTTTGATTAAATAATAGATCGACATCGCAAAAAAAACACAGTACAAATAAATATTAAAAGATGGATCACAAAAAGTTATTGGACGGAAAAATTGGAATAGGTCGGTACAGAATGTAGAAGAATTAAGTTATAAAAAAACTTACATATTTATTTACATGGTAACATATATGTCTAGAAGATGTTGACATATATGTTACCATGTGTCCATAAAATAAACACCATGTCTGTCCTCCTTTGTCATATTAATAAAAAATATACTTCATTGAAGACAACTTTCACCTACATATTTGCTTTAGATTGACTCAAGTCCATGACTTATTGCATATTATACAAAAAGCAAATCATTAATCTCAAATTATAAGAAATTATTAACGATACCTAATTATGCTTCAATGATAATCTATAGATAAAGCCATCGCTAATTTTCACCATCAAAGCATTTTCATCAAATAATAGAAATTGGTAATGAACGCTCATAAACACGCATGTGCAATTACGTGTTTCACGGCTGAGCGGCGTCTGTGGACACTTCGTCAGCTATTGGCAGTCTATGTATAATGAGCGATAGAAATCATGACATAAGAAAAAAATGAGAGTGTTACAGGGTACAGGGTTTTTCGTTATTTTTGTCTGTCTGTATGTTTTCACTAATCTGTGAAATAACTAGATTTGTATTGAAATTTTAAACTAATCAGTTGACGGTATTAAATGCTGTGATTAAAAAAAGATCACTGTAAATAAAAAAAGGGTTCTTTATTAGCTTACATTTTAGACAATATCAGTATAAACGATGATTTTATTATAATTTGGTTGCTAGAACTGGTTTCCCGTATTCTTGAACTTTGCGTGGCTTAGATTCGGAGAAAGGTGGCCTTGGAGAAGACACGGCTTTGCCGATGTTCGATATTAAGTTGTATGTCCTAGAATCAGCTTGTTGAATATGGATTAAGTTTGTTCAAAGATTCCACGTTCCTAACGATTCTGTTAGTTCTATTTATACTTTATTGTACCATTTATTAAAAAAATATTGTTTGAATTAAATGTACATCACGATAACGAAAGCAAATTTCGTATTAGCATGATATTAGAGCAAATTAGTCTTAGTTATTCACTTAGTACTTAATAATTATTTACTAGCGACCCGCCCCGCCTTCGCTCGGATGCAATGCTGATACTAAATACACTACAGAAAAACTGTGATCCTTATCTACTACTAAAAAACGCATCGAAATCCGTTGTGCACTTTTAAAGATTTAAGCGCACATAGGGACAGAAAAAGCGACTTTCTAGATGCAACATTGCGTTTTGAAAAATTACATTTGCCCCTTTATAAAACGCCCGTTTTAATCTCTCGGTTCTCTGCATTCTCAGTTTACAAAAATGCCCGTAATATTCACACTATTAAGAATTATAAGCGAAGAAGCTATTGTGATTTAATAGGCCACTTAATCTTTAACGATAATAATTGAATGATGATTTCATTTTATGGCAAAAAAGTTTACTTTCACTTACAAGCTGCGGATTGTCAAGTCTATTGATGAAAGTAGTTTTGGGGCTATTTTAAGTATAGTTGGGGGCCACTAGTTTGAGTCATTTTGCAATGCAATAATAACATAAAACAACCGTAGTGAAAGGTCCTGGGTTGAAATCTCGGGAAAACAATGTAATATTTCGATCAGGCCGGGCTCAAAAGTCTGATAAATTTTTCTGTAAATAAAACCGATCAGTGAAACGGACACAGAAATGTGCTCACTCCATGCCCCAAGTGGAGAAATCGCTTTTTAATAGTAAAGGTCCCGTTGAAACAACCCAGCCTCAGTCTTCTATCATATTGTATTTATTCTTCCGTAAAAAGTTCAACCTTTCACTTTTGAATCCGTGATCTGTTGGGCGTATTACGTACGAAAGTAAAGTCAGTGAATGTAAAAATTCTTTCGAAAGGCTGTGTGTGGGGGTTATTCTCAACCATCAGAGATTTGTTTTTCATTTGTGTCATTATATTCAGAAGCCAGCTACGTCAGCGACATCGTCCGCGAGTTTTTGCAAACCCCGTCATCTTTATAAACTGAAGCCGTTAGCCACGACGTTGATCGCGTCCTTTCCCGTCGTTCTTGCAAGTTAACCTTAAAAGATACACATTTTCAGCGTACGCATCTGAAACCCACAGAGATTAAAACTTTCCATCGTTTTGTTCCTGTTTCCCTTTGTATCTTCGCTTCTATTAGTCACAGTACGATGTTTTATAGCCTATTATAGCCTTCGTCGATAAATGATCTTACCAACACAAAAATAATTTTTCAATTCGAACCCGTAATTCCTGAAATTAGCGCGTTCAAACAAACAAACAAACTCTTCAGCTTTACATATTAGTATAGATGTGGTATCATTGGACCTTAAGTCACTTAGTTGAAAATTCCCTGGTCGACCGTGACATCTGATAGTTATCTAGTAAATCCACTCCCACCAATACTTGCTGTCGTCGTGCGTGACAACCGCCGATAAGTCGAAATGATCAAAGTAATATTGAATAAATGATTTATGATTTATGATCATGTACGGTCTGTTAAGAAAACCTCTCAACCACAAAATATAGTGTAAATATAATAGTTTTATATCGGCCACAGTGGCTTAACGATTACGGTGCGATTATTTTAAATCCTGGGACATTCGGCATATCACATTGATCAATTACTTTCCTGTAAATAAAATCGATCATTAAAATATTATAATATGTACTGTCTATAGTTTACGCGAGTAGTGCACATTTAAATAAAACACTTTATCGGTTTAAAACGCCATGGTCACGGGGTCACGTCTCCCCGTGACCACGGCTGCTGCGAAGCATCCGAAACGTTTGCTATTAGGGTATTTAACATTAAACCCTTTACCTTCAGACCACCCTGTCCACAGCTGAAACTTTGGACCGTAGTTGTTGAAAAACAAGTTGTTTGTAAAATAGTTAACTTATAAATTTTAAACGGTTACAAGAGTTTTATATAAATGTTTACGTACACGTTACTCGCGTAAACTACAGACAGAACTTAGAAAAAGTGTATTTTTATTTAATAGGGTAACTAAATAAGTTACACACTACTATTTCTGTTATTTGATTTAAAACCTTCGGGTTATTTGTATGGATTCTCAATATGGATGTCTCGTGTTACAGTGGTGGTGATTGTGGTGAATTAGCTGCTAGAAGCAGCAGTTATTGGCATAGATAATATTATTATTTGAAGGTTTTAATTATACTCAATGTTTAGAATTTTTTAGAACTACCCGAAAATGCAAGTCTGAATGAGTACAGTATTATTAAGGAAATTTGATCTTTTACATGCTCTAAATAGTTTTTTTAATACTGAATTGGACTATACTGTAGGTACTTTATGACACCTACTTATCTCCTATAGATATTGTTTCCATTGTAACAATAATCACATCTTATCAAATTTCCATTTAGTGTCGGTTATACACTCCACCCTGTTTTGGATATATATTATCAGCATCTTTACATCAATTGTTAAAATTGAAAATACATGTAAAAATCTAAAACACTTAATTCACAATCATATGATTATTGTATTAATAATGATATGAAATCTTATCCAAACACTGATGTAAAATCTATTTAAGTGTTAAATTGTGTTTACATGTCGGCTACATTAATAAAAAGATAATTGAATGGTATTACCAATGTTATTGATACTGATCATAATAATCTAATGATTTTAAAGAATTATTCATCAGATGTGTTTGTTTCAATTGCTTTGTATATTAAAAAAAGTAACTTATTACATTCATGCTTCTTTATAACTCTCCGTTCCAAACCGAATCAGTTCTTACCTAAAACAAAAACAAACATTTGATTATAAATTTATAATCCTTAATCTAAGAATTGCTTGACATTGCGTTAAACGTGATTTGGCTATCTAAGATCCTACCAAAATATTATACACTAGCTGTGCCAGCGACTTCGTCCGCTAAGAATATTTATTTTGGGCATACAAATACGTTTTTGCAATTCCCTTTATAAATTTAAGCTGTCAAACCCACGATGTCGGTTGCACCCCTCTCCGTCGTTCTTACAAGTTAGTCTTAAAAGATACAGACACAGACATATAGCGTCGCGGACTTTTTTTTGGATTATTTAAAGAGGAATCATACTTTCATACAAATTTTTGGGGTATCTTCAACCGTCTTTGCAGCTTACGCCTCGGAAACCCTCACAAAAAATATTTTTTACAATTCGAACCAGTAGTTCCCGAGATTAGCGCGTTCAAACGAACAAACTCTTCAGCTTTATATATTAGTATAGATTGTTTCGACTGATGCCAGAAAACTTACGAGACTCCACTTCATTAAAAATGTTGAAAAAAAAAAAAAAGAAACTCATTGTGTCTTTACGCATATAAACTCCAATTTCGTATGTGTAAAGACACTGAGCTTGAATTAGGTCATAATTTCTAAGTCTTAGCGCGGCATTGTTTTTTAATGTGAAACTAATTAACTCGTAATTACTCGAATGATATTTTCCGAGTTAATGAATGGAAAAATTCGTTTCCGAGATTTCATTTGGCTAATCTTTAATTGGGTCGATGTGGTTCTTGCGTCGGAAAATTGAACGAAATGGAATCTAATGAGATCTCTTTTAGTATTTTTAGAAATACTTTAATTACGGGATATATTTAATTACGGGATATATATTAATTACGGGATAGTTTTTTGTACAATTGTTGTATTTATGTATTTGTAATAGTGGTATTTTTGTTTTGTTATGCTACCATTCCACTTATTAAGCTTATTAGAGAAGGAAAGGTCTTTGCATTTCAATGTTCGTATCTGTTTTTTATTGAATCAAATTTACGGCCAAATGAAGTATTACTATCCTTTGTCTGTCCAAAACATTTCTATGGTTTCTTTGGCTTCGAAATGGTGCTACGCCTATAGACATATTTAACTCTATAAAAGTCTTCGAAGTAAAAGTCGAGGAACGTAATCTATCTGTTCCCGTTTTGGGATGGCGTTGAATGACAACTGGAGACCGGACGTAGAGCAGACTTTTCCTGAGAAAATACAACATTCATAATTTAGTACGCTGCAGAAGTAGCTAATGAGTTTCCCGTATTGAAATCTCTTGGGTCTTGTTGGGAGAGTACAAAGGGGATTGGAAACAAAGATATGTCTTCTAGTCTAGAATGGCTCTTTACATTTTTGTAGTTTTCTAATGACGACATCCTTCTGTTAAGAAAACGGTAAAGGTCGATCACACGATTGTCTTGTCTTATTAATGAATATCTTATAATTAATCATTGCGATTACGATAAATGATTCTGAGGCGTAATTTTATTTGAACCGCGTTTTATCGTAATGTTTTATTTGTTTCTCTTTTGAAGGTATACACCCTATCGTAGTTACATAAATCATCTCCAAATAATCAAAAACGTATGAAGTCTCAGGATACATAATTGTCAAGATTTGTAAGCCTACGATCTCCGTTCGATCGTTCAACTAACAAATAATTATATTTTATTATAACTACAGATAGGTGTAATCTAACACGAGCATTCATTACACAGGTACCGAGTGCCAGAACGTGAAATGGCGAGAAGGGGCGGCGACAGAACAGCGCCCTTACGCACACCAACAATGGCCGGCGGTCTTTTCGCCATCGACAAAGATTACTTCTACAAGATCGGCTCTTACGACGAGGGCATGGACATTTGGGGCGGAGAGAACTTGGAGATGAGCTTCAGGGTATCGTATTTATAATATACGGCGAGAAATAATAGAAGTAATAACATAGAAATCGCTTTAAAGGGGACTCAAGCGGCCTCGAGTAAGAAATTAAGCGCTTATAAAGCCCTTAAAATATTTAAAATCTGTTCCAAAAGATACTAGAGTCATGGTAGAATTGTTAATATCACAAAATAGAGCAATACAGAATTACAATAAGGGCGTCAAACCGGCCTAGACTTCATTGATCACATTTCCAAAAATATGTTTTGTTTGCCAATAGTAGTACATTCAGCACTCGTGTGATGCAAAAAAAATGTTTTCGTTATTTTCGGGAAAAGGAATGAAACCGGTTTAGAATAAACGGTTTCCTAAACCGTGAAGTATTTCTCGATCTTTATGGTAACTATTTGGGGTGAAGGTGTGGCAGTGCGGCGGCCAGCTCGAAATAGTGCCTTGTTCCCACGTCGGGCACGTGTTCCGCGACAAATCGCCCTACTCGTTCCCTGGCGGTGTGCAAAACGTGGTCCTCCATAACGCGGCGCGCGTCGCCGAAGTGTGGATGGACGAATGGGGAGAGTTCTATTACGCCATGAACCCAGGTTCGCTTGTGAACTAACGTGCCGTTGCGTTACACGTGCTGCCAAAGATTGTCTCCGGTTCGCACACATCTTAATACAAAATTTTTGTCTGATAATTATCGGTATAACTTAACTTCACAGAATAGATATCTAACTTATCATTTACAAGCTAATTAAAATAATATGTATGTTAAAGCGATTGAACAGATAAACAAAGCAAACACGTATTTTTTGTGGCTATTCTACAATCTAGAGGTTTCATTCATAAATAATAAAGAAAAAAGGGTTTTTTTTGACTTTGTCTACAATAATATGAAGTCCTACTTATATTCCAGTAATATAAATCGTTTGACAAAACAATGACATTTTCAAGATTTATGTATTTCAATGAGGCATTAAAATAATCTTAATATTATCTTAACATAATCCATCACAGTTGATACCGTGATTTGAGCCAGTCGGTACTTTGTAATGTGCTAAGCCGATGAACCTAAAAAAATTATTGATAATTCAAAAGGACATTTATTTTGGCAGAGCGCAGGACGCGGCGGCACACAAAAGTTTTGTTGTGGCTTGGGACTATTAACAATAACAATTTGTGTATGTTATTAACACCGAATGGAGCTTAAATAACATTTGACGATCATTGCAGCTGCATTCCATCTCTCTAATTTCATCCTTTACTGTTTGGCATGCTTATTTTTTCAACCTGACTAACCTTTTTTATATATTTCATTTTAGTGTTTCTCGATGTGTACTGTCCGGCTGTCTTTTGTTATTGTCTTGTTTTATTTGCTTCTTCTTAATGCAGAAGCAATGAGGTAATTTTGCTAGTGAAATGTGTTTGAACTACTCCCACAGCAACTCTTCGCGGAGAGTATTGAGCGGTATTTGAATAATATCAAGGTCATTGAACTTTTTCTAATATAGATGTTAGTTTATAGAAATTAAAATTAGTAACGTAAGTACTCTTGCCCCTTTTCGTTGCTGAAATATATTATAATAGCTACTACACAAACATTAAAATCAGTAGAGTAGCTAGGTTGACAAGGGCCCCGGTCTACCTAATCCTAAAGCTCAAGAAAGAATCGGGTCCTCATCCCCTCTTTTAGCATAGCTTGAATTAAATGAAGCCCCAAAATGATAAATAGCAACAAGAACGTTAAAAATCATTTTCTTCTTTTTCTTATGCTTATATCTTCTCAAAGATAAGGTTAGAGGGCCCCTAAGTTTCGGGGCCCTGGTGAGTGCACAGTGTACACCACCTGGCCCACCTTAGCTACGCCACTGATTAAAATGCGCAGTGTAAAGTTCAATAAATACTGACTAGTTAGAATTACCAAAGTTTCGATTATAGAAAGTTGGAAAACGGAGAACAAAATATCATATTAGGTCTTACAGGCAACCTTTCTCTAAGTTCCCAAAAACGCCTACTCAATAGTCATTGTCTAATGTAAAGTAGTACATTTACTATGCATAACTCTTATATCTAGTTATAGAAGGTTAAAACGATATACTCTCTATATTGATAATTATCTTCAGATACGCACTGTTTATCAATGATTGAAAATGCGATGTAAGTTACATCTGTTCAAATATTAACGACGTACTGTTTGTACTATTAAAACAATTGGATATTTCTGTATATTGCCGAGCTAATTATATATTGTCTCGTGAATTTTAATATGACCTCTTTCTATACCAGCGATGCTCATGCTCTCCGAATCATGGCTTAATAGAATATTATTGAAAATATATGTGTGTAAAGACCATGTAATTAAACCGACCATACATACATCTCAAAACAAACCATAGATATTAATAGCTCTATTTATTTATTTATCAATCGGAAGCAATAAATAGATACATCATAAAAATAGCACAGGAATGATGAATTAGAATAAAGTTTCACACATCATTTAAAAGTTATAATTAAGTAAAATTCCGTTCTCATTGGACTGGAAACACGACGACAATTATAAATTGAATTTTTTTACAAACTAACTAAGACAAACCAATGAAATTACAAGATGTAAGACGAGATAAGAAATCGTTTTAATTTATGTATAAATTAAATATGGAAGTTTTCAACAAAACACTAATGTTCGATTTGAAAATTAGTGGCCCCCTGCAAAAGTTTTTCATAATTCATTCATTAAATGGTCTTTGCCACGTAAAGACATTGAATACGAGTAATTGGCAGCCCGCTAAAATCTACTAGTATTAGAAAATGTTACACATACATACGCAATCGCAGGACGTGTAATAATAATGACGACAAAACAAAAAAACAAAGAATTATACAGCAAAATTAAGTAATAGTGGTGGAATTGAAAATATTTATTATTTTTCACATAATGGCATTGTATGAATATATAACGCAGCAGCACGGAAAGCCTATGGACCCCGGTTCAAATCCATGTCGGTGTCGTAAAATGTTTTCGATCTAAATTTTCCATTTAGTGGATGGAAAATTACCTAATTCTTGTAACTCGATCTCAAGACTGAAAGCTGATTAAACAGACAGGCATATATGGTCGCATCCACATATCGTATTATGTACACAGTGTGTAATTCGTGTATTTGCTTATGAATTTAATATTGACAATAATACTATTTATGTGTTTAATTTAATTAACAATTAATCTACGTAATTATGTTTTTATGCTAATAAATTTTTCATAATATAATTTTCACGGATAACTCATATACTTTTTTTGTTATTGGAAGACCTCGTTGAAAATTTATTTCGGTAACCTTTGGCCTAACTTCCCTTTATAGAAGAAATCACGGTAAATGCTATTTAAGTATTTATGTTGTTATATTTCTGGAATACATCGTATACATTGTCAGTTGAAGTTGCAAATGTTATTAATAAAGTTTAAAAAAGCCATATAATTTAGATTGTCTCAAAAGGCGTATTAGTGTTTGAACGATTTCTTTAATGGTAACGCTACATTGCAGTGATATACTCCTTAGATTAACAAATTCACAAAAATGTATTAGTTTATAAGACATGTTGAAAAAGTCGGATTGAGTTTCTTTGGTGTTCTTATCGGTCATGTTGCTTTTTTTAACACTGTAGAATCACGACGGACAGACAGACAAACATTTTTCATTTCTTCTTTGGCGAATCTAAATAATTAAATGTAAAGTATATTTATTTTTTTATAGAAGAGATTTATTCATTCTATCTTACATTTAAACACAGGATCATATTTTTGCTATCAACGTAAATCAATTCTGCTCTGGTCTTTCAATAACAAATTGGTGATGGAAACGATGACTTAATTCACGAAACACTATTGTGTAAATCATTTTGAATTCGAAACGAATGCATTTGTTTCATCTCATGAGCGTATTGTTGCATAACATTAGCCGTGAAAATTGTTTATATAACATGGTCCTAGCGAGGTGTGGCGGTGTAAGTCTAACAGTTTTCACATCGAGAACTTACCAAATATACAAAATGTTTATCAAAGCATATACCTACTTCTTTATATTGCTTAAAGAATGGGATAAACGTTGGCTTTGTAATTAAATCCTATTTATCGATATTATCTTTATTTTAGTGTTCCACAATCATTATTAATGGATTCTATACGAAGTTCTATAAGGTCTTTTAAAACCTACTATGCTTTGTATCTTCTTGTCTGAATTATATCGCCACGTTTCTGTTTAGGGCGCCGAATATGATTGTATACTAGTATAAGCAGTAGTGCATTCTTAAAACGCCTTTAAAGTAAGCGCATCACACGCGTTCTTATAGGATATGAGTAAAGTATATGTATAAGTATGTACAAAAGATTACTTGTATTTATATTTGGTACAACAACTCATTATTTCATGTATTTATTAACTTCCTATATAAGTATTTTAATCGAAGCGTTTTGAAACCTTCATCGGCTTTCCTTAGCTTCTGATATAGAATCGGCGTGTTTTGTGCTTACATTGCTCTACCAACTGCTTGTTTATAAACTATGGGGGTCGATCAGGTGTGGATGTGTGGGGGCACGCTGGAGATCGCGCCATGCTCCCACGTGGGGCATGTGTTCCGCAAGACCACGCCATACTCGTTCCCCGGTGGCACGGGCCGCGTTGTCAACCACAACAACGCGCGCCTCGCCGAAGTCTGGCTTGACGACTGGAAACATTTCTACTACAATATTAACCCAGGTTAATGTGGCTTAATTGACACCGTGAACGTGTCGCGGGTTAATAACCTATTACAGTCAATGTTTACTATATAAACGTTACGTTTTTTTTCTGAGTCCTACTGTTCCTCAAGTTAACTGTATAGTAAAAACTCAAATACAGTAATGTTTTGAAACTAAATATGTTGTTAGATCAATGTGGAAGTACTTTTATGTATTGGATATGTAATGTCGACGTATTTATTATTATCTGCAACTAATATTGTGCATCATTGAGCTACGATTATATCATTTCATTAACACATAATATAATTCATCTAATAACTCGCAACACGCGTCACGGGTATTGCGTTCAATCTCATTCAGTTTTTATTTATTAATCGTTTGTTATCAGACGAACGATCGAAGCTTCGAATAATTGGTATAAAATGTTGTCAATATTGTTTTTTATACGGTCTGCAAATTATTTATACGAATAAACGGAACGAGATTGATCGAGGGAATATGGTTGTGGTTTTATGTTTATGTATTCATATCAAAATATGACATTACGTTTTTTTATATATCGAAATCGATGCATGCCATTAAAAAAATATAACATGTCAAATTTGGAATTTGGTATCTATGGTTCTGTTAGTAATTGAATCTCTGATGAGCAGGCGCATTGAACGTGCCTGTCGGTGACGTCAGCGAACGAAAAGCGCTGCGCGAGCGACTCAAATGCAAGAGCTTCAGGTGGTACCTGGAGAATATATACCCGGAGAGTCAAATGCCGCTTGATTACTACTTCTTGGGAGAGGTGAGCGTTCTAGTGATCCTAGAAAATTGTTCCTTAATTTCCAGGGCATCTTGGGGCCGACAGGTACGACCGTCACGATGTTAAACTTCACGGCATTTTCATCTATGGACGGTTCACCACCCGAACGGATTTTTGACGCTCCAAGCATTTAATATTAAGATTTCCAGATGCAATCCAACTTTTTTCAGATAAATTATAACTTGACCAGAAACAGGTTGAAACAAATATGAGCGAGTATTTTTACGTAAAGGTTTTTGAGTCGAAGAAAATAACGATGAGTTTAGTCTCGGTCTAGGTGAAAGGTGAACGAAGCAAGCGATCACAATGTATTTTAACAATTGAATGCATGTGACTCATTATTTTTGACAATTAGACATTGACTTTCGCTGACTATCGCTCGGTGATTTGTGAAAGTATTTTTGCTATACTCATGGTCAAAGTCACGATTGTGACATTTGAAAGTTTTGTTCGTAAATGCTGTTTTTAATTCAGTACATGCGTGGCCTTGCCGTGAGAAAATTACGTGTTAAAGTCAAAACGGAAATTGGACAATGAGTGTGTTTTAGTTACGCTCTTCTAAATATTATTTGTATGTCGTTATGAGAAGTTCTTATTATACATTTAGCTGGAGCTCCATGAAATTATAGACGTTTTTATGTTTTGGACCTTTCTTTTACGTTTCCAATTAATTCAATTTAAATCTATAGTTTGCTACAAAAACATATATTTGAAAAAAATATTAAAATGTTATTTACACAAGGCCCTTAAATGTGTGTACAATCTAATATGTATAAGTTTTTTCTCTTTACTAAGCTGAAAAAGTCTGTTTATTTGCACGCCGATATCTAAAAGACCACTAGTTCGAATTGTTTTTGTGTTTGTGTGTATTTTTTTTTTCATTAGACCGTTAATATTTATCATAGATGGGACACAAAATCATAACAATCACAAATAGGGAATGTTCCAAGATCGAACTCAAGGCCTCGCAAACCTTATTTCGGCTTAGACTATATACATAAATACTTCATTATTTATTTAACTTTTTCTGCCAACCATAAATACTAGATCTAGATAACAATTAGCGGTACAATAATTATTTTAGTTGTATCAATCAAAGTATGATTGCGATCCCTTATCGGTACACTATCAGGACACGTTTATTGTGATAAGAAAAACAAATCAACGCTTATCGCTTTGTATTGCGCGAACGACGTAATGCAATGCGAGATTGAATCTGTAAAAATATATGAAATTGTTTTATAGTCGAATTATGGGTCAGTTATTTTAATCTTGTAGGCTAATGGTATACATTAATAAATCACTTTTAACGATTTAAAACGCAAAATATAATATTTTTGCTATTTTTAATTATATAATTTTCCCCTTGACCACGACTACTGAAAGAATTGTGTCATTAAACGAGAAATATAACGATACATTTGAAAGCCGAAGAGTTTGTTTGTTCGAACGCGCTAATCTCAGGAACTACTAGTTCGAATTGAAAATTATTTTTGTGTAGCATTGACCATTTATCGAGGTATTTTATACAACTTGTATGAACGGACGCGGGCGATGTCTTGGATAAGATCGGATGGCTAGTATATAATATTATTCCTCTTAATTTCCAGATTCGAAATGCCGAAACATCAAACTGCTTGGATACGATGGGCGGTAAAGCTGGACAACCGTTGGGTATGGGGTATTGTCATGGGATGGGTGGAAACCAGGTAGGAAAAACATTGTGTTGTTTAACTCTGGTGCATACAGTTTTCTTACATTTATATATTTATTAAGCAATATTTGATATTGCCCTGTAATTAAATGGTTAAACGTGATGCCTAGCTTTGCGTTAAGAGCGAAATCTGAGTGAAAGAAAGGAGTCTGGTAACACCGATCAGTGAAATGAAGACAGAAGTGTGTTCGCCCCATGCCCCACGGGGGGAATCGGAGTATCACTTTATTATTCTTATAGGATATAATGTTTTGTAAATAGTCTTCATATATATAGCTAATAATCTTGTAAGACTTGCAATGCATGCTTTTTTGTATGTTAGTATGATTGATTTAATATATAAATTAACATTTTGAATGAAACCCTTTCAGGTGTTCGCGTACACTAAGCGCAAGCAAATTATGTCCGACGATAATTGTCTCGATGCGGCTCACCCGAGGGGTCCCATCAAACTTATTCGGTGCCACGGGATGCGCGGCAACCAGGAGTGGACTTATGACACTAAGGTATGGTGTGGTTAGACCCTATTAATATTAGGTTATACAAAAATATTGACTTAACTTTATACCGTTAAGAATATGGGTACGCTCTTTACATAATTCCCAAAAGGTAGTAGATATATTTTCTACTTCATTGTTCAGATTCTCAAGATTTAAGCCTAAGGAAGCCTTTGAATGTCTCATTTTATTTTTAGAAGTCAGGATTACACCAAACGGAGTTCTAAGTTAATCCCAAATTAAATGTAAGCTACGAAGGTAGTTTAAATTTATAACTACCCGCAATTAATTATCTTTGTTCGTCATCAATTTTTTATAGATTGGATTCATTAAATTCTATGAATATATTTCTCGGCTAGATTCTTGTTTCATTACCAAATAATGTGGCGTAAAATTACTTTAATATCCTTGTATTAAGCATTACAATATAAATATGTAATTGATTCGTAAATCGCACGAGTGTGAAAAATCGATACAGTTGCATGGTGAAGTGAAAAACGCTCGGTCTTTGATAAGCAATCTCGTGTATTATGCGGTGGTCCACTCCATTAAAACTGTAGACGTGAATAATTATAACACAGTTAGGTTGGCTGGGGGAACTTATTGATCTACCCGCTGTGCTCAAAAATAGTTAAGAGCCCCTAGACTAGAAACCTTTATAGAATCTTAGCTGACCGATAGGGAATTTTTATTGTAAAACAAACCTCACTTATTGTAATATGAGAGGCGAAAGAGTCTTGGAGTGCTGTAAACGATTAGATATACAAAATACTTATTGTATGCTGGTGATAGACCATTGTATGTATTTTATAATAAGATAACTTATCTTATTAGTGGGTATGAATACAATAATTTTTACCAAAAAATAACCTACTTCAAACCGTAAAGTTATAATAATAATTTACTTCACAAAAATGAATGTGTGATTTAGTAAGAAGAAATGATTAATTCAATATTATTATACTATAGTTTTGAATTTCAATTAACTTCAGACGCGCACAATAAAACACACCAACACCGGCATGTGCTTGGACAAGCCAGAGTCGTCTGACGTTTGGAAGCCGGTGATGCGCGCGTGCGACCGGTCGAGGGGCCAGCAATGGCTTATGCAGCTTGACTTCAAGTGGCAAGCGAGGCGCAGCTAGTGTGACGACGCCGTTCACGGTAACTATGCCTAAATACAGGATGTCCCACTCACATTCTACACCGAAGGAACCAAGTTAAATTTCGCTACTTTTCTTACTTACCTTAGATAATAAAAAAAAACATTACACTTTTTTGCCTGGAAATCAAACTTGAAAGCCAGTTAAGAAGATTATGTTATTTTATGTATATATGATCAATTTTCTCTTCCAGATTCTACAACGATAGACCACAACAGTCTTCCCCTATCGTTATATAATTATTAGATTAATTTATTCCTATAACTATAGTTTTATATCTACGCAACTTTGCCCTGTGAATTGTTGACAATACATTGATATGCTGTAACCCTTTGACGTTGCTCAAACTTAGGACTCGTCTGTATGTAAGTTGGTTTGGCTGTTTGGAAATTATTTACTCGTATATGTAACGACCGCTCGTCTGTGGTCCGTTGTGTTATTTGTACTGATTTTTACTAGTACGATATTTGATAGCGAATTTTCATTGAGATTTAAACGTGATACGATGTCACAAATGTGTGGCGATATATTTCCAATAACGTAATTCTTAATCACGAATTTATATTCTCTCCTACGGTACTGTTGCGGGTTCGAGTTATTTTATAGTGTTGCTTGCATAGGAAATTATTTTATCTCTATTTTAATGGCTGTTGAAGTTATCGATGAGATTAATTAATCGTTAGCCGATTCGGCTTAGCGTTATTTCACTTTACAGGTGTTCACTAGACTTCAAAAATTAAAATATAGTTTTTTATAGCGATCTATCCGACTAAGGTTTTAACAAGTTTAAATAACAGTTAGTGGAATCACTAGCCGCGTATTTCATAGCACTACGATATTTTCCTATCGCGTTTAGTAAGGCTAGGGCACTATGTGCCATATATGTTGCTTGATAAGTTTAAATCACACGCTATTTAGTATATATCGAGTCCCAATATATTCACTATGAAAAGTTACTATTATCTTTACGCTGAATATTTATTTGCCTAAAACTGCCAGTGATAAACATTTGTTCCGTTTATATTTATTCAATAGAAACTGTTATTTCGCATCGTTGGTATATCATATATTTAGTTTTTGTTGCGATTCATCTGCAATACAACTCGTCGACTATTCTAGGTATTTTGATAAACTTTCCTAATGTTATTCTCTATGTATTATTGCTAAACTTTAATTGGATCGAATTTCTGGGTTTCAACATTTAATTGGCATGATTTTCAGTTACTCCTACACTTTTTGGTATGGTATGGATAAAAACCGACCGGTCTTGGGTACGATTCCCTACCGGGTCAACATTTGTCTTAAAAAGATAGGTCGACAGGACGTCTTATTTGGTGTTGGTCACCTTCTTTCTTCGTCTCTAATCATAGAAAAGCAGGTTTAGCAATAATATATTATGTATTTCTAACTGTTGCCTTAATTTGTATGTCTCAAATATCTCGTATTACAAATGTTGAATTTACTCTTTACATGTAAGGACGAATGAGAGTAATTTAGTGCATATCGTGTAGGGAGTAGGGGCTGAATGGAATTGCCTATATTATAGTTGTACACTAGGAATAAATATATTTTATAATTTCTTAACCCTCCAATACAGCTATGCCGGGTTTGAGATTTTCATACTCATTCTTCTCTCTGCGAGCAATTCTTGCTTTCAAGTGACTTTTATCTATATATGTATATCTATTGTTGGTATATCACTCAATTTTCCCTCGGCATAGCGAGACAACACGAGATTATTTACTTGTGACCATTGTAGCGTTTTAAAACGTTGTAATGACGTTGCTAACGAATTTTTTGCGTGATTTTATTTTCGCATTTGGCATAATTGATTTGGTTTGTGAAACAAATTATATGTTGCATTTAAGAGACGGATTTATTTTTGTACATCACAGATGATTGTGATTATGTTGATTTCACCAGTAACGATAGAAATTATTTTTAAAGATTATTATTTTCCAACACCTCACCTGTGAATAGGCAGATTATTATTAGAGATGGGCCAAGTACTCGGTTGATACTCGGTACTCTGCGGGTTTTTTAGTACTCGTACTCGGCCAAATAACTCGGTTCTACTTTGTTATTTTCTAACGAGTATACTTTGTTTAAGAAAAGCAATATATTTAGGTAGATATAATTACATCAACAGTGTATAATCCAAAAGTATTTATTAGTAATTTAGGAAATCTGAAAATCTCAATTTGTTAGACGCGTTTTCAAACAAATATATAAGTGGCAGTAGGAAGGCGTGGGAGGGGTGAATCAAAGCAAGCGAAGTCTTGAACGGCGCGAACCTGTTTGTACTTGTTTACGCGCGCGAAATGGGAATTTGACAAAAAAAGAGTTACTCGGCCGAGTAGTCAGTTGAAAAAAAAATGAGCCGAGTAAAACTCGGTACTCGTTACTCGGCGCATCTCTAATTATTATGTAATTATTGTAAATAATTTGTTACGTCCATTTCGTCCAATCGATGGCTGCATCGAAAAAGCATTTATTTATTAGAAGACAGAATCTCGAAGTTATTTTGATTTGTAAATATTATACGTGCCAAATTCAGTTTTTTTTTATTTATTCTGTAATGCTTCACCATTCCAATAGTCAGAATCAATAAAATTATAAATATTTTGACTGAAATTTTTTAGTTTTATTTAGACTAAGTCCTTTAAAAGAACTTTATTGGGTACGACAAAAAATTATTTAAAAATTAAAATTTAATATAATTTATTAAACTTAACATTAACGTAATACTTATATCTCCTAAACTAATCTTACATTAATAAAATCGTATATGCACACACCAAAATAGTAGTCCAATACTAAAGGACCCTTTTAAAATGTATAAATGGCGAATTTATGTATACAAAACAAACCCTCATACAATATTAAATGATACATAATTCGTACGTTAACAAAGTACAGTTGAAAAAAAGGCATATTAAAAGCACTAAAACGTGCCTCCTTTGGACATAAAGCAGTTAGTAAAACAAAACATCAACTTACTAAGTATTGTCTGTAGCTTACAAAAGTGGCATTAAATAAAACACTTAACGCAAATTGCGAATTCGTCGGGTCGTAATTAAGAATCAATTTACTATTACGAAAAGTCGAGGAACACTCATGATGTCATCCACTTGTGATGGCGTAACGATAGAAGCAAATAATTCCAAACCTATGCGTATTTGTTACGCGTTTTAATCCATTTAAAATGTTTTATTTAACTTAGTTTCAATGCTATTTAATATTGAATTAAGATTAAAAATTAAAATGACTGAATAAGGGAAAAAAATATGATTTCAACACATTCTGAATTTCGTGAAGTGAATACATAATAGAGATCGACACATTCAAACAAAACAATAATTTCAACATAGACGCAGTTAGAAGATACTTGTGTAGTGTGGGTTGGAGACCCGCACGTGTCATAGAATTTCTACTATTGTCATATTCTAGCTGCGCGTATGCATAACATAGAGAAGGCTCATTTGGTGACTTGAGATCAATGTTATAACGATGTTATCTTTCGCATTGAGTCAACATCCAATATATCTCCGTTCTTTACCAAAGATATTAATGAACAATAATCAGGAAACATTTCTAACTAGAAAATGGGGAGGTCATTAACATATTTATATATCTAGCTAGTAATCATTTCATATATTTTGACTTAATAATATAATTTGTCCATCTTCTTTTCTTGAACACTTTATAATCATGAATTTTCAACAGACAATAATTAAAAAGGCAAATTAAATGACTAGAAAATTACACCTCGTTTACTAAAATACTTTTTCTTCACATTCAATAAAAAACGTAAATAAGAAATTAGACTATTTTTAAAGAGAAAATCTCATTTCAATACCGCTTACAAAGTGACGGAAGATTCGAAAGAGTATCAATGCAAGAGACATCGTTACACTAGGCGGGGAGTCCCCTACCTGGCCGCATGGTCCCGGGGTCAATGACCGGTGTTGCGTCACTCGTGCGGCGCGTCTTCCGCGAGGAGCCAACTCTCGTTCTCCGCCCGGGATACTTGTTTCTTCAGAGTGCAGTAGAGTTTTATTAACGAATCCTGTAATTGTAATAACATTATAATTTACTGTACACTCAAACATGTACATGTTTGAGTGTATAGTGTAATGAAGAATGGAATGCTTCAGGTAACAATAGAAAATAGCTAATATTAAGGAAGTAAAGCTATAAAAATTGTAAAACACTGGTTTTCTTAAAATAAACTTAACCTTTGTGGTTTCATTAGAGACTGCCTCTATGGTTACGTATCGTCTATCAAACCCCAAGGTAACAATATTATTATCTCCTGTTAAGCATTAGTCGGATCAGCTATTTGCTTGTAAATAAAATCGATAAGAATCGGACACGGATGTCGCTTGCCAGACCCCACAGGGAGAATGGGTGTTTCTTATTTAAGAAGGCGAAAATAGTAAGTTTTTTTTATAGATATAAGTGTAATCATTTGTTTCAATGTATTTTGCATCATTTCCTTACCTTCTCATTCTCAAGTTGTATGATCTCTCTCTTCTGCCGTAACTCTTCATCGTTCATCTGTTCCTCTAATTCCGACTTGTGTTTGCTGAGGTACGCTAGTTCTGTTTGTATCTGAAAAGTATACACAAACATTAATGTTAGGTAATATGGGAACGAATAGAACACAACAATTACAATACATAGTAAGATGTAAATACAAATTTATAATTAATACAAATATAGTTGTCTCTGAAAAAGGAAACCACTCAGCTACGTTGGGACTAAGCTCCCCCTAATATTCTGTGGCTTCTTCAAAGGCCGAGCTAACGCAAGCGAGATTATTTGACATTTTGTCTATTACACTTAATTATACACACAGACAGTAGAATACAGAAAGTAAGTATAGTGTAAGTAAAATAATAAATCTGGCTGATTATTGTTAATACTTCTTTAGGCATTATTAATCTAAAAGTGCATTTTTTTACTAAAACCTGATCGGTTAGAGGTTTTTTGGCAAAAGTATTTGATTTATAGGAGGTGAAATACTTCAGCCATATACATGAGATCTGTTGTCGACCTGTTTTGGTTTTGGATATTCGAAGTGATTTACAAATACAAAATGTGGAAGATAACCAACACGTACTTACAGTATTTGTAACTGATATAGTTTCTCGGTAAGGAAACGTTGAAAAGAGTGGAACTAACAAACCTTTAGGTACTCCTGCGCCAATTGCTTGTGTTCCTCGAATATCCGCTTGGACTCCTCGTTGGTGAGGTCCGGCGAGATGGGCCTAAGGTGTGGGTCTAGCATCATGTGCATAGAATCTAGATCCGGATCGGGCTCGGTGCCTTGTGGGGCTGCGGCGCCTTCCGCCGAACCACTGCCACCACCTGGAAATATATTATTTCGTTAGCTTCATATTTTAAAACTTGAAATCGATAGGTAAATACAATAATCCAAAGAGAAAAAGTTGGGGTATTTGCACCTTCTAAATAAATATGCAAATGCATACAAAGTCCTTTTACCGTGTAGAATCTTTTAAGTAGCCTTGTGATACAGTAGTTTCTAGTAAAACTTCTGCATTTTGCAGTTTCGATAAAATAAAGCTTCTGTTAGCCATATTTTTAGGGGAGGCAGCTGCTAAAGACTAACTGAGGATTTAAATTCTATTTTTTACTGTAATTTGAAATTCTAATATTTTACCGATCGACTTTAGGTAAATTTGATAACTTTTTGTACCATACAATTCTCAGTAAAAAGAGGACAAAACACCTTTTGTACCTCGAACTCTCTATGAGAAAAACATAAATGGTGGGTACTTTTTACTTATGTTCTAATTAATACTAATAAAAAAAATATCTACATACTAGTATATTTTGCTATTAATCAATAGTCACAAGACTTCGCGTATATTTATAAAAAACTAACAACGCATGATCTATAGTGAACCGTACGATTAAAATTAGCGCTCCATTGTCGTCAATAGCGGTTAGATAACGTAATAAGAAGTGTTTATAATAATGAAAGAATCAGACGCAGTTCTGTTGCAGGGTTAAATACGTCAAGAGTTAAATTTACACCGCCCGCTGATGTCAGACGCTTCACCTAGATTTCGCCGTGCTTACTTTGCACGCGAATAGATGGCAGCACTGAAACTAAACAAGGAGCCGACGAAACACCATTCGCAACGATCGACACAAAACTGGGGAAAAGCACTGATAAAATCACATGAGAGCAATGGAATATTCCAAAACTCCGAGACAAAAGGCACAAATTTATTTCCCGTGGGAACGGCTGTAATGCACTGACGTAAAATGTGGCCTACAATGCCTTCCGCGTTGGGCACACGGAAGCGTGCGCGCACACAGCGAGCGAGACTCACTGTAAAATATCCAACTACAGCTGACCGTGTCCGTGATGGTGGTGAGGATGGCGTCGCGAGGGTCTAAGCGGCGGAGACGCGCGGGCGGTGCGGGCAGGGGGGTCATGGCGCGTGCGCTCGCGTGGACGTCGCACACAGCACTGCGCGACCGCGTCACCCGTTCGCCGCCCAAAGCCCAGGGCGGACTTAGGCACTTTTCAGAGAATGCTATCAATATAGTAGCAGGTAGTTAGCGAAAATATTGCAAACCATACATTATTATGGATGCGTATTTAGACAGTCAATAAGTATGTAGCGAAATATCTTCGTGTCGATAGCAATGCGCGATACTATTGTTAACTGTTACTACGATGTAACGAAATCTTTTCATGACCAACGATTTACAGGAAACATCACAGAACAGTAAAGCTATTTTAGATTGAAATTGATAATTAACTTAACAGTGTTTCTGGTTTTTATACATGCTTGTTATATATATGAGCACTGAAAATGTCGTCCACCGATAGTGATGCATCGACAATAACCAGTAAAATCAGCGGAGAAAGCGCTTCAAAGACGTTCAGCGCTTATAGCGGTGGCTCGAAATAAGCGGGAGAGCCGGGAACGGACGATGCAACAACAAACCGCCTCTATTCGCGGTGCGGTGACTCATCGACGTCAGCCCGAGCTAAATGCGGACGCCGTGCGCTGCCGCCCTTCGCGAGGTTTTCTGCTTCTCTCTGGCAGGGCGTACGCGCAGCGCTCTTACAATGGGTCGATGACCCCCGCCCACTCGTTGCAAGAAACGCTCCAAATACAAAAACACATTCTCAATGACAGCGCAGACTCAGGCTCAAACCGAACGTTGAAAGGTTTGAAAGATTTACATCTCGGTATACGCCTGCCGGGCTAATACCTGTCACTTGTATAGTAATACGTACGCCCATTGAGTAAGAATGATGTACAGTTTACGATTGCAACATTGGCTCGCGCATAGAACGAATGCACCGCACGGCAGCCAAGGTGCAGTGCGCAAAACCCACGTCTTTAACACGTTAACAATTAATGTGTTCCATCCCGATGACATATGATGAAGTCATTCTTCGCCATGACAGAAGTGCTCTTTGTTTTAGGCCGGATTGTCTTTTATATTGTAGGTTATATCTTTGTTTTGTATGTTCTGATTATTTATTAATACATCACGAAATGTAGCCACAATGTAGTCGTTAAAAAAGTGTTTGTTACAACTTTGACAAAATTTGGGATTGATTCCGCTTTGACTTGACGTCTATACACGGCTCGTGTGAGAGACGCCGCTGTTTCCACTTTGGCCCTATGACGTTATATTGCCGAAGAAAACACGTGCCCTTAAAAACTTACTTCGTACGGCGTGCCAATTTCCACGTTCACGTTTTACCTACATCTACTATAGACCTAAGGGGCGCTAAAAATAATTTAGGACATTAGATTTTACGCGTGCCGGAAGTGGATGTCAGAGTATTAATTTCGCCATAAAACAGCAAAGACGGCATCTTGGAATAAAATAAGTGTTATTACAAATATTTTACTGGATGACGGGTCTGTTCACTTTATTGCTAAACTAGAGACAGATCAAACTGAAGTCGTGGTGTTAGTAGAAAGTCGAGAAATATCAGAATTGGGAATTTTGGAATTACCTAGTCTCTGTTGGTTGCTTTGGCTGCTTATAGATGGTGGAAAAATATTAGATTTTTTTCTTTGCAGAAAACGCATAAGCGGTTAATTGCAATAAAGCCGCGATAATTAACGCAGTCCCGCGACCGATGACAGGCATCTGGCGTCCAAGGGGAGGTGTTGACTGATGGTCTTCGGCGGTCGTTAGATCATGACTAATATACGACACGTTTTACGACAGCGAACTTCGATGAACCATAAAACATAAACTAGGAGCAGTAAAGTTTACGCGTATGTATTTCAATTTGGCACAAACCGCGGACTCGAAATGGGTCCGACGAATCTGGATTTCCTTTGGGACCTGGCTGCGTGCTATCGGAATAAATAAGGAAGGTCACTCGTGATGGATCAGCTCAGGTGTCAAGCGTTTAGATACACTACACTGAAAAATGACAATGGGTGAAATCTTTTTTGGCAACAGAAATATTGTTATCCCAACAATAGAAGAATAATAGTCCATTTGTTCTCTTTATAGGTTTGAAGTATGGCACATTTATAAAACTAGTGTAAAGACTTTTAATTAAAAGAAAATTTAAAACTGTAATAAAACAAAATGTAAAGATCACTATAAATGTAATTATAATTACTGAAATTAATATTCTGTAAAACATCATTCTAAGTACAAACAGTGGCATTGTGTAACAATCAACAATGCACCACTAAACTACCTAAACTACATTTATCATTTAAATAAAACACTTTAACGGTTTAAAACGCGATATATTAGTTAAACTTATTTGAAAATGATCTTTCAACTTCGGCCCGACGTTTCGGATGCTTTGCAGCAGCCGTGGTCACGGGGAGAATAAGTTTAACTAATATATCGCGTTTTAAACCGTTAAAGTGTTTTATTCAAATGTGTACTACATTTATCAGTTCAGTTATTATTAAAATTACGTAAGAAAGAATCTATAAATCTTAATATATAATAGATTTATTTAAAGTCGTCACGACACGTAGGTCGTTCGTTTTAATTAAAATAACCGCGGAGCGAAAAGAAACCGGCACTTTAGGAAGACATCTGTAATTAGGTAGGAAAGATTGAAACGCTGACACTCACTTTCATGTCGTGTGCCAAGAAGCCACTGAATGTACAAACTAAATGTTAGATTAACGCAGAGCAGATGACAAGCTTCGTAGTACATGCTTTAAAAAAAAGTCTGATTCACCCGAGACAGTTTCATTCGATACGGAAATATCTGCAGTACGGATTTAGGCGTCCTTGTGTTCTGTTTTAAAACAAAAATATAAAGGACAATAATACGCGTACGCATCTCGATATAGGTATGAGACAGCGAATTATTTATTGGCACTTGCAACTTCATATTTTTCGTTTCGTATGGCTTTACGCGCGGCGAGGTAATTTTGATACAATGAATCAACGTAACACAGAACGAATGGAAGAAAACTTTGGAAAATTAATCGACGAAAAATCATTAGGATTGTATTGAACTTTTGATGTCATTTTCATTGACAAAGATCAAAGCTAGAAGTATCTTAATGTAAATAATTTACAAGATATCGTATCATATAATATTTATAATTGAGTTACATTTCGTCTCAATTTATTATAATCTTCGAAGAACCACTAGTCAGTCTTTTACATATCTATATTAAGCTAAGCTCGAATAGTTTAGGTTAAAAACACATAAATTGTCTCCAAGGTGCGCAAGAGTGGAATATCACGTATAGAAAATGTATGTGCGGTGTCAGTGAAACACTTATCTATTTAACGCCTATTGTAAAGAGGGCAGTTTACAATTTCGTGCCAACTTCTACGGCAAAATAAGATCTAGGGCGATCCTCGTTTACGTTCTGTATACGTGATCGGTTCCAGATCACATCAAAGAACGGGATGCTAAGCAGAAGCTGGGAATTGGACAGGCTGTAACTAAAAAACTATATCTAGCGTTGACGATACAGTTATTTAGTCTTATTACGTAATCTTTCAGATAGAGATAATTTAAACATATAAAGTAGATATACTTGTACACTATAATCCCGTCTGCCTGTAACACACGTCAGTGACATACGTCTAAAGTTTAGATTCATGTTTTTAATTTAAAGCGTCTTTAAATAAGATATTCGCATACCCACTGATACTCAGTACACTAACAATAAGTTTTTTTATTACAAAGACGCTTTGTACAACTTATAGTATTCCAAATCCATCATACAGGTAAAATAAATTTAAACGAGAAAGCGCTAGCGCATTATATTTTCAACGCTGAAACTTATGAAAGAATCTCGCGTAAGAACTATGAATGATGCAACCCAATCTAATTCAGATTTTGAAGCAGTCAATATTTCATGCTATAATCGGCTGGTGGAGTTAAAAAGTGGAGTGTAATGGCAGTAGCAGGAAGCAATACAAAAGCGATTGGCAAAGGCATCGTTGTGAAATAGCGCGGACTGAGTCACGCGTGTATTTCGAGGGAGCGTTCCCAAATACGCTGTTCTTACGGCGCTGATACCACTTTTTAGCTATACAGAATCGCCCATACCGTTCGTAATCGCCAATCGTATTAATTAGCTGGGTACAGACGATAACAGGTTTCACTATATGCAATGTAATAGGAGGGTAGTTTTAAAAAGGGAAGCATTTAAACTACTTTTTGTGTTTCTTTTTTTTGCAAATTAAATGTAAGTAACTAACTTAATATCGAAATATGTTTTAAATTAGAAATTTACAACTTTACTTAAAATGATATCTCATGGCGTAGTGAGGCTTTAAAAAAATCTGACTATTACGTCTAATATGAATAGGGAAAAAGTCCTGAAATAATAATTATTAAAAAGTTGTTTGATTTTGGTCAAGTATCTTAAAATAACTATGTTTTTTAGACCGTTAACAAGAAACGAGAAGCGAAGAATGGATTTCATTTTCTATATACCTATTACTTTATTTCTATTTTACGAACTGTAGTCATGTGATTTTTTTTAATCGCTTTTCATTGTCAGTGTCTAAACAATCATTAATTATTGCTGTGTTTCGTGAATGAATTACAGTTGCTACTAAGATTTGCTTTTACATTTCAACGGGGAAAAAGGTTAAAGAATATTGGAAATCTTTAAATTTTATTTGGGTGGTCTTAGAAAAGATTTATGGCCTGTGAATTAAAGATTATTATCCAATACTATTATATATACGTATTAGACATTAAAATTGTCTATTATAAATTTAATATCATCTATTTTAATTCTTAGAGCCGCCTGAATAAAAAGAAGAACACGGCGGCCAGATAAGCGTAACAAGATTTGCGTAAACAAGTGTTGATCTGCCGCGGCTGGGTCGTGACGCAGGCGCGAGCCCCGACCTACTTAAGTTGTCAAAAAAGCCGGCAGATGTTCTCGAAGGCGGGTTTATCGGGAGGGCCGTTGTTCCGAATAGAAATAAACTTGTCACATATTTTGATTATATCTAGAGCGGCGGTTAGTCATAACGCGCGGATGCCAACGGCCCGTTGCGCACCACCATCGATGCTATAACGGCAATTGTATTCCACTCTGAATCACCGCTAAGCGCCGTCTGCAAAATGTCTCACCACTCGCCGTTTATTACATTCGCCAAAATATTTCTCGCGTCTAACGGCGGAGCTATAAAGCCGAAAGAACTACGCTAAGTCGAATAACAAGCAACAGAGGACGAGTACGAGGTTTATAATTAAACTATGTGAAGTTACCGAGTCTCACTTTATGAATAATGTGTGGAATCACGTTTCTCCCCTGTGGGCATGAGGCGAACACATTTGTGAGTCCGTTTCGGTTTTATTTGTAAGTTGTCGCACATCATCATTACATTTCGGTGCCGTGCCCGAACGAATCTATTGTTTCCCCAGGTCCTCTAGTGTTTAACTATTTTACTACAGAGACACTATATACATAAGGTAATAATATTGCCTTGTTATAAATGCCTTAATTATAAATTTCAGACATTAGTTATCATTATGATAAACGCCCTCAGTTAAACGCACTAAGGGTAGAGATATTCCCGGAGTGTCAACAAACATCGTAACTCACGTGCGATCAAGGAAAGGGCCGTTAAACAATCGAGTAAACAGCGTGCGTATTTTTAAGATCAAAGACCCCTTGCGAGATCGCAGCTGGTGAGACCGGGTGTAAATCTCGAGGGAACGGCGGCGAGTACAAGTACTCCTAATTATGAAATAATTAGGAATGATGCATGGTCTGAACGAAAAC